TTTTCTTTTGGGGTGCTCAGTAGGTTCAGTGGCTGACTCTTTGATTTTGGCTCAGGTCATGATCTCAGGGTCCTGGGATCGAGCCCCACGTCTGGCTCTGCGCTCACTGGGGAGCCTGCTTGAGATTCTCTCTCTCCCTCTACCCGCCCCTCGATAAATAAATAAATCCTTAAAAAATAAAAATACTATTTTCTTTTATCTAGCTTGCTTTATCTTAAGGTTACGGTATATAATATATATAACATACAAAATATGTGTTAACTGACTGTTTATGTCATTGACTGGGTTCTGATCAACTGTAGGCTATTAGTAGTTAAGTTGTGGGGGAGTCAAAAGTTATATGGGGATTTTCAACTACACAGGATGGGGGTCAGTGCCCCAACCACCAAACTGTTCAAGGGTCAACTGTAATTAAATAGATTTCACTCTATTTTTAGTCTAAACGGAATATTGATTCCATTATCTTGGAATAATTATTGCAGAGTAGACAAAATAATTCCCTCCCCGTGTGTGATGGGATAGAACAAAAAAACTAGACTAAATATACCTCACAAAACCCATAGTATGGGGAAAATTCTAAGAGATGCCTATCATCTCTTAAGGTTCTTCGTTAATCAATAGGATACTTAATCTCATAAGTGCATTGCACTTACCACTGAGGTTCTGTTTATGGGCTTACTCCTCACACCACATTATAAATGACTGGAGGCTAAGAAACTTGTTCTGTATCTCTGATTCCCAGCTCCTACCATATATTACTTAACATAACAGCAGGAGCTCGATAAATGTGTACTGAAGTAAATTATTTCAAAGGACTTAAATAAATCTTCAGTTACTTCTTTTCCAAGGTATGACATAGAACTGAAGTTGCTAGATGGTTTGCACATTTTCATTTTGACCCAGAAATTCTGTCAGAGTGCTCTTTTTCTGTAAATTACCCTCTCTAATCCTTTGCCCATTTTTCTATTGGCTTTCTTGTCTTAAAAAAAATCAATCCATAATTCTTGGTGGTTTATATATATTCCAAATGTTAGTCATTTGTCTATTACCTCTACAAAGGTTTCTCCTACCCTGTCACTTGTTTTTGAAATCCTATGTCTTTTATCATACAGAATTTATCTTTTAATGTAACCCAAATTATCAATCTTCTTTTGGATTTGGGTTTTTTATATCTTAAGAGGCACAGACTTCTATAAACAATGACTTTTCTGGGGACATAAATTCTCTCAGACTTCAGATAAACCTATGTCTACTGCATTTAACTTCTGTGGGAGGACGTTAAAATGGGGCTCTTTGGGTTTCACTTTTGTCTGAAGCCCCAAAACAGCGTCAATTGTTCTCATGTTTAAGGATGAAGCTAAACCTAGCAGCATTTGCAAAGACATTATTTGAAAATAGATTCTGTATCCTTTAGCCCAACAGCTACCTTGAGTTTTCAAAGGGCTGATCAAAGTTAGAAGCCCAGAAAGGATTTCTTCAAAGAAAGTTATCAGTGTGCAGAATCCCACTGCCCACATCCCAGTGGAAAGGGTACGGAGCTAACGAGTGAGACTCTAAATGCACAACTGGAGGCCCCTCTAAGGCGGGGGCACCGTGGTGGGTTGGGGATGACTACCAGTCTGCAGGCTGAAGAGAAACAGCCCCGGCGGCGGGACAGAGCCTCAGGTGAGGGTTGTAACTGCATTCCTGCCAATGGTAAGGTCACAGGTCAAAGTTCTGTGGTGCCTGGAGATCAGGTACTGGATTAGCAGTAGGACTTTCTCAAGGGGATACCGCCCAGAGGGTTTCTGCCAAAAGTGTGGGTTCTCTGCTGGAAGAGGCTGGACGGGTACCATCGAATGTCCAAGCTTCAACCCTAGAGGGGCCAGAGGCAGACTAAATGCACGGTAACGGGGGACAGAGAAAAAGCTACCGTTCCCTTCTCATTATCAGCCAAACGCAGGCCCAAGATGGGAGAGACTTAAACTGGAATGAAATTCGGAGTTATTTTATATAAGACTATACCCACATTTTTTATTAGAATGAGACTATTCTTATGAAAGAAAGTGATTAGAGGAATTTAAAACAATGTTTAGAGAAACCAGATATTAATTGAAATGTCATCCAATGTAGCCCACAGACCAGGCTTGACCAGGCAAGGGGGGTAGGAGCACTGTTTCCTGATCATGCCCTGCTCCCACAGTTCAGTACCTTGGCTTTGCTTCCCACATTCCAGTGCAGCCATGGCATTAGGGTAGCACCTTCATGAGAGTCTAACATTACAGGTCTTGAGTCTACACACGTTTTGCAAGTCATTGCTGTCACACAGTTATACATAATGAAACGCGATCTTTATTTATATTAAAACTAACATTGAGTTATTTGCATACCATGTCATAGCAGCGTTATTCACAAAAGCCGAAAGGTGAAAGCAACCCAAGTGTTCCCACAGACAGATGAGTGGATAAACAAAACATGGCATACATAAATTGGAGCATTATTCAGCCTTGAAAAACAAGGAAATTTGAACAGATGATCCAACACAGGTGAACTCTGAGGATATTATGCTAAGAAATAAGCCAGTCACAGGAGGGCACAAATACTGATATGAGGAATAGTCAAAAACTCAGAGACAGAAAGTAGAAGGGTGGTTGCCAGGGGCTGGGGGAATGGGGAGTGGGGAGTTATTGTTTAATGGGTACAGAGTTTCAGTTTTGCAAGATGAATGGTGGTGATGGTTGCACACCAATGCAAAAGTATTTGACTACTGAATGGTGCGCTTAAAAATGGTTAAAATGATAAACTTTGTTCGATGTATTCTACCACAGTTAAAAATAAAATCACTCCCCACCCCCCCAAAGAAAAGAATCACCCCAAAACCCTAAATGAAAAAGGGGAAATTTAACCTTTATTAGTCAAGGATCAATGATGGGGAGAGTAATAATGAGAAGTGGCTAAGAATTATCACCGAGTCTCACCATGGGTCAGGTGCTGTGCCAGGACTTAGCAAGCAGTCTCATTCAAACCTCATTTCAAACCTACGGGGTTTAAATAGGGTTCTATTTAAAGCCCCATTCTACAGATAAAGAAACTGAGGCTAAAAAGGGTTAAGTTGCCTAATGTCACACAACTTGAAAGGAGTAGAGCCAGTTACTCTGACTCTGGCAGTGGGCAGAATTCTGTCACTGAATCCTCCCCCACCTACAGCCTCTTAGACTAGAAGAGGTCATAGAAAGCATTAGCAAAATCACTGACATTTGACTGGTTTGCCATGGTTTACACAGCCATTTCTCACTTGATACTACTCATTAAAATACTGCAGTTATGAAAGGAGGGAACTGAACCCTAGAGAAGCTAAGTAACTTAGTTCAGGTCACACTACCAGGTAGGGTTATGATCCCACAGCTTTCATCTCAGGGTCAGGGCTGCCCATCCATACACAATTCCTCATTTCACCTTTTTCACATGGGAATGTCTGCAAGGGACCCTCCCAGAGAGGCTAATGGATGGTCCAAGGTCACACAGAAAGCAGTATGTTTTGCATACATCATCAGCCTATACCTTTAAAGATGCTTTGCCACGATAACACATATTCTGTAAATGTAGAGGGACAAAGTAAGGATTGGTACAGGAGCAGAGAGCTCTGTCAGCACATAACAGAGTGCTTTCTTCTAAAAGCTCTTTCATTTGTGGAGTTGATGCATTAGAACCACTACTTCACATGAGCACCCAACTTTTCAGTGCCTGCCCTTCCCAGACTCCTGGTCCATTAGCTCTACAGTTATGCTGTGATCAATGGAGCAAATCCATTTAGATGGCATGTCTAGCCACTCTCATAGTAGATTCCGTACCAAAGCAGCAAAGTACACAAGAACTATACAGTACAGACCTTGAGGAATGAACTACATAAATTCTCATTGGATCCTGACTGCATGGCTATAGGGAATTCTTAAAAATGGTCTCAATAGCCCTGAGTGAACTTTATAATGGCTGAGCATAAAAGTGCAGTGCTAAGTTCTTTAGCCCAGTAGAATCTTTTCTAGTAAAATAACTCACTTCTGAGTTTGATTATGAGGCTGATGATGAGTGTGAAAGAAGCAACTGCTAGACTTGATGATTACAGGCACAAATGTGGCGAGTGGAAATTACCTGTGGGCATGTGAAAAAACTGCCACTGTGGTCTGTCTGATATCAAATGATGGTGTTATTCCAAGAATCCTTATTTGTTTGCCCTTTGTTGCTTCCAGCTCACGGGTGGGACTGGGACTAGCCCTGACAGAGCAAGCTCTATGGCAGCTACCCCCTCTTCCTGACTGGAATTTCCATCAAAAACCGAAGACCAGCAGGTGCCACCAAAGGACACCTTTGCAGCAGCACAACGTCTGAAGTCTTACCAATTAAAATTTCCATGTCTGATGGTTGGGAATCTCCCCTCTAATCAACACAAAAACATACTCCAATTTGAGGAAGAGCAAAGTGATTTCGACTGCTAATAACAGCTGACAGTTAACGAGCATTTCTTCTATTAATTACATACAGCATTAGGCAGTATGCTCCATGAAGGCAGGACTGGGTCTGTTTTCCTCACTGTGTATCTCCAGCTCTGAGTTGCATGCCTTGTGCATAGAGGGTCCTCAATAAATACTGGCTGAATCAATAAATAATCTCATTTGGTTTTCACAATAACTCTCTAAGGTTTGCTACAATACTGTAATCACCATTTTACAGATGAGAAGACTGAGGCTCAGATGTCATTAAAATGTGTCCAAAATCACTCCAGCAGCAAGTGTCCAAGCTCATATGCAAACCCATGGGTACTTGGCATCAGAATCTACAGTTCGAACACAACATCATTTTACTAGTATAGAAGAGACCATAGTGCTTTTCCAATACTGAGACCATCTATGAAAGGTCGGTCTAAAAGAATATATTTTGAGTCAGAAGGGACAGCACTCTTGTTCAGTCATCAACTTTTAGATTTCTTCCATATTCTACAACTAAATTTAACAGAAATGACTTACCTACAAATCCTTCTTGACCAACCAGTTTCAGGGCGATTTTATCAGCCAACACTGAAGAGTTGCCATGGGCGATGTTAGCAAAGGGGCCAGCATGCACAAAGACAGGTGTCCCCTACAGAAATTGAAGAACAAATTAAAACCCCCAAAGACAAAGGGAGGAATGAACCAAGATGGTGAATCTTGGTATTTAAAGACTCACTGAAGCCATTCTGCTTTTAGTAATACTGCATATTCAGTGTGTAACTTCTCTCGAAGAAAAAGAAAACACCTTGACTCTCTCAAAGGACCAAATTCCTGGTATACTCTACAACAGTGTCATTCTACACTAAATGCTGAACTAGGGAGAAAAACCTGTAAGGATTGATTATTTCCTACTATAATTTTGATAAAGCACTCATTAGCTGCCTCACTGACTATGAAGTAAACTATTTACCTCACTTCATAGTATTTTGCATTTTATATATATTTATTTTTTTAAAGAATAGAATTAAACCCCAATGGTCTAAGAGGCTTATTTAAATTTATTTTTTTCCTCCACTGAGAAATCAATCACTTCAAGAAAAATCTAAAGAAAGCAAAAAAAAAAAAAAAAAACCAAAACAATTAATGACCCTGTGTAGTATGGAAGGAAATCCCAAAAGGTTTACGTTCATTATAGCCCGTTTTTATATCTACAATAATAAACTTGCTCTTCTGATTTTTACAAATTCTGTTTTAAGTCTTTCTCATTGTTTAACTGGCTTACATATTAAAAATCTGGTAAGTATTAAGACAATAAAAGCAAAGAAAATTTTCACTCTTGGTAAAATGCTAGAGTAATTCTTACTAAAAAGGCAAAAAACAACAACAAGAACAACAAAACACCAAATCAACCTCAATATAAAGGAATTATCAAAACTTTTAGATTTGATTCATTAAAGAAAATCTGTCGATATTTTCATTTTAAATGCCATTTCTATAGTTGTCCTTTATCAGTGAGAACAGACTGTAGCCCTAGCTAAAGGAATTTATCCACATGCGTTGCAATGTTGGGGTTTTATTCCGAGCCCAGCCGGGGCTGCTGGGGTGTGTCTGTGAGGCCTTGGTTCCACCTGTGAAAACAGAGGCTGCCCTCTTACTGACAGGGGGAGGCAGGGAGTGAAGCGGGGAGGGAGGCTGGGAGCCACGGAAAATTCCCATGAACCACGATGGGCTGCTAGCCGAACATATTTCAAAGACAAGAGAGCTGAACAAAAGCAGGAAGAAAGGCAGTGAAAGAAAAATCATCTCTGAGAATGAAAAAGACAGAGTTTATCAAAGCCATTCTGTGAGTTCTCTATTTACTTTTCTTCCCAGAGTCCTCAGGAGGCACAATGACAGGGTCCTGATGAGGTCACACAAATGTCTATGGAAATAAAGCTGGCAATATGCAATCCAAACGTAGGTGCCTACGGGTATTTTCGTGTGTGTGTCTAGTGTCTAGATCTGTATACCTCTCTTTAACTTCTCACTTCTGTCCAGATAAACCTTTTAAAAGCTCTGAAGAAAACACTGTTTAGAAGAACTTCAAGTCTCCATCACCTCCTCCCCTTGCAGTCCGGGTCCGTGGCCACCTGTGGTAAGCTACTGGAGCTGGGGACAGTATTGTGAGGACAGGGTCACAGGCTCTGTCCCTGGGTCTACACACTGCAGCACTCAGTGAGGGCCTCGGTCTGAGAAGCACCGAACACTGGTCTCTGGCGGGGGACAGGTGACAGGGTGTGGCCAGGTCAGCATAAACACTTCACTGTTCCTGAGATAACCACTCCCAGGACTAGGTCAGCAGCGTTTTAATTTAAAATTAACGGCCTCATCGTGAATTACTCACTAAAGCAGTATTAGAGCCCTGTTTTTCAAACTCCTAGTCTGGAGTCTGAATGGACAAATCTGTCAAACATCATTATTAGACATTGAAACACAGAGACACACATGCTCACATGCTCACCTAATATTTATGGCTATGATACAGTACACGGAGTTAAGTACTTAGTTAAAAAACTGTGATGGGGCATCTGGGTGGCTCAGTTGACTGAGTGGCAGACTCTTTTGATTTTGGCTCAGATCATGATGGTAGGGTCCTGAGATCAAGCCCCATGTTGGGCTCTGCACTGAGCGCGGAGTCTGCTTGAGGTTCCCTCTCCCTCTGCCTGTGGTCCTCCCCCCGCTTGCACTCCTGCTCTCTCTCTCTCTAAAATAAATAAATAGAATCTTAAAAAAAAAAAAAACTTTCCAGGAGATTTTAACGTGCAGAACTGAGAACTACCAGTCTCCCAGCAACCTGCGGCATGGTAACCCTTGAAAGCCCACTATGGGAGTAACAATCAAGTGTATCCGAACATGAGCACTAGAGCACAATCTGTACACTGATCAGTGATTTTCAGACTATTGGCCAATTTAGATTCCTAGTGCCACTCATTAGCCAGGTGCATCTGGAATGATAAGGACCCAAGTAGCAGAATTCATACATGCAGATATTTTAACTGAATGTTGTGTTTACTTTTTAAATGATGCCCACTGTCGGTTAAAGTAATGACAAAGTGGCCTAGTCTTAAATGAAAAATAGATAGAAATGTGAGTACCACAAGAATGGTCGAGGAGCAGCCCAGCCCTCTGATTCATTCCCTAATAGAAACTAGACTTTTAGAATGGGTGTTATCTTAAAGGTGTGGGTAATTTTTTTTAAAGATTTTATTTATGTGTGAGAGAAAGAGAGCATGCACAAGCAGGGGAGGGGGGAGAGGGAGGGGGAGAAGCAGACTCCCCACCGAGCAGAGAGCCCGACACGGGACTTGATCCCAGAACCCCAGGATCGTGACCCGAGCTAAAGGCAGACGCCCAACCGACTGAGCCATCCAGGTGCCCAGGGTGTAGGTAATTTTTAATTTAAGAAAGATAAGTATCTGGGGCGCCTGGGTGGCTCAGTTGTTAAGCGTCTGCCTTCGGCTCAGGTCATGATCCCAGGGTCCTGGGATCGAGCCCCGCATCGGGCTCCCCGCTCAGCAGGACGCCTGCCTCTCCCTCTCCCACTCCCCCTGACTTGTGTTCCCTCTCTCGCTGTGTCTCTCTCTGTCAAATAAATAAATAAAATCTTAAAAAAATAAAAGAAAGATAAGTATTTAAAACAGTAAGCTGATTATCCCTAATAATGATAATAACATGTTCGTTTTTAAGGGAGAAGTATTATGAGGAAGCAATATCACGTTTCTTTGTGAGTTTTTTATTTTCATTCACTTATTTATTAAACAGATATGTATTTTTAGGAGCCATATGGTAAAAATAAGTATTCATTTAATTATTCAACAAATGCTTGCTGAGCACCTAATGTGTGCGAGGCACCTTCTAGGAGCTGCGATCTGGTGGTGAGCCAGGTGGAAAAGATCCTGCTCCCATCCTGGTGGATGGATGGACGAAGAAGTAGGGAACTCTTGGATGATACTCCGTGCCACGCCCAGAATGACAAGACGGTGACAGGTCACATGACTGGGGCTGTGTTGGACTCAGTGGCCCGGGAAGGCCTCTCCAGGGTGCTGAGATTAAAGGACATGAGTCCCATTGGACAAGAAGGAGCCAGACACATGAAACTGGGAGGGGCATCCCAGGCAGGGGCAGAGAGAATGAGGGAGGAGGCAGGGGAGGGCCCCATCCTGCAGGGTTTCTAGCCAGAATGAGGACCAGTGTAAACCACCCAAGAGCTCTAAGCAGGAGGGCAACAGGACCTGATTCAGTTTCAGAGCTCTAGGGTGGCTGAGCAGAGAAAGGATTCTGGAAGAAAGAGGGTTAGCAGTAGCCACTGTGGCAAGGCGGGAGGGTACGCTGGAGGCCGGGGCAGCGAGAGAAGTGGACAGCTCGGAGACGCTTCAGGAAGGGAGGCTCTGCAGGGATGGAGGTGGGGGGCCGAGGAGAGGGAACCAGGCTCCAGGACGACTTCTCGGATTTTGGCTGGAACCACTGACTAGGTTTGAAATCAAAGACCCTATTTTATAACCAAGTTTGATATGCAATGGCTCTTGGCAAGTACATCCACAACTCTGAAATTCTGAGGTCACGAGATTCAGAGCAAGAGTTCAGGGGTCATGGGGCGTCTGGGTGGCTCAGTCGGTTAAGCATCTGCCTTCAGCTCAGGTCGTGTTCCCAGGGTCCTGGGATGGAGCCCCGCATCGGGCTCTCTGCTCGGCGGGGAGCCTGCTTCTCCCTCTCCCCCTGCCACTCCCTTTGCTGGTGCTCACTCTCTCTCTCTCTCTCTCAAATAAATGAAATCTTAAAAAAAAAAATGTTTGGGGGTCAGCACATGGCTGATGGGGGGGAAGTACAGCTGGAGAAGTGAGGGCTCAGACCCTCCGACATTTAGAAGCTGAGCCAAGGCCAGGCCAGCAAACGAGACCGAGGGGGAAGATAGCAGGAGGCCCAGGGCCACAAGGTGTCCCAGAAGCCAGAAGAACCAAGGGCTCCAGAAAGAAGAAACATCAGCTGGGTCGGACCCTGTGAAGAGGCCACACAGAGAAGGACAGAGAAACAAAGACTTGGTCACACAGAGGGACAGGTGACCGTGACAGAAGCATCCAGGAGATGTGGAAGCTTAGGTCAAGCTGAAGTTACCGAGGAGAGGCGGGTGGCAAGGCGGAGACCCAGGTCACAGACATTAGTATCTGACTGTGACAGAGAGCAGAGAAATGGAGCAGTAGCTGGGTGGGGACACTGGGTCCTGGGAATTTGGGGGACTGTTTTATTTTAAGACTTCTATCAGAGCCTACTTGCATGCTGACGGAACGGCAGGAGAGAGGAAGGAGCTCACGCTGCAGGAGGGAGAGGCCCCACCAGAAGGTGCTTGTGCTCTCAGCCCCCGGCTCAGCACTGCACCCTTACCTCGGACCTTCCAGCTCTGGCTGGTTCTGCCATTTCTGGCATGTTGCCTTGCATTTGGATTCTTGCTCTCTGCTGGAGCCTTTCTGACTGTAGAGCACATCCCTGCCCACAGGCCTTTGAGCTACATGTTACCCTCCGCCCAGAAAGCTCTTCCTCACACGCAGCTCGGTCTCCTGGTTTGTTCACATCTCTGGTCATCAGACGCCACCCACCTCGCCCTCTGTTCTCTCATTCCCTCTTATTTTTCTAATTCAGTCCTTGCCACCAGCTGACATGTTATGTACTGACTCATTTCTCTATCCTCTGTCTCCCCCACTAAGGGACAAGCTCCAAGAGGGCGGGACTTTGTTGTCCTAAGCTCCTACTGCAAGGCCTGCCCAAGTCATGGGTTCAGTGAACACTCAATCTTCACAATAGCCCGGCTAAGTAAGTCTTCGTTACTATCACCATTTTACATGGGGGAAAACAGAGGCTGAGATTAGCAAATACTTGGCCAAGGTCACAGTCAGTAAATGGCAGAGGGTACATTCAAACTGAGCTTTCTATCGGCTGAATGAATAAATGGATGGAGATTCTGCTTGTCTTCCTCCAATCTACTTGTGCCCTGGGCAAGGGCAGGGTAAATCTAATGACAGGGGGGTACAGCATGTTTTCCTGGGAAGCATTTCTCAGCATATACTCTGTGTTTTGCTTGGGAAAAACAAACCAAAAAACCCTAAACCTAATGATTATGAGAAGCTAAGTCCAAAAAAAGGCAAAACAGAAAACATCACGTAAACATCGCTCCACAACTTACCGACATATTAGATACAGAATTTTTATGTTTCTACTGCATTACCCAAGGAAAGAATCTATACATACACTTCTAACTTTTTTCGGATGTCCAAGGACTTATTCTGATGCTCCCTGTGGGCTCACATTGGCTGGAAATGCTCACTTTGTGTGGGGATGCACACGCAATGCGATGAATGCAATGTCAACAATTTCTTCTTTTTTTAAATATTTAAATGTTTTTTAATATATAAAAAATAATTGGAGACTTAATTCAATACTAGCAGCTATTATGACTTTTAATTTATCACAATACATATTTTTTTTAATTATTAACATAGAATGTATTATTTGTTTCAGGAGTAGTGGTCTGTGGTTCATCAGTCTTACACAATACCCAGTGCTCAGCACAACACATACCCTCCCCGAAGTCCATCACCCAACCACCCCATCCCCCCACCCCCTCCAGCAACCCTCAGTTTGTTTCCTAAGATTAAGAGTCTCTTATGGTTTCGTCTCTGGTTTCGCCTTGTTTCATTTTTTCCTCTCTTCCCCTATGATCCCCTGCCTTGTTTCTTAAATTCCGCATATCAGCGAGATCATATGATAATTATCTTTCTCTGATGTCAACAATTTCTATAAAAAGAAAATCACTTACTTCTAGGGTCTGCATCAGATTTGGTTTTATTGCATCTTTCATCAAAACTGTCAAGGCACCTGTGACCCCCTAAAGGAGAGAAACAAAACAAAACAAAACAAAACCTGCTTTAGATTGTTGACAAAAGATCATCCGTGCCAAGGTGAATCTCGTGGCCGTTTCTGAGCAGCCTGCCTCGCAGGTGGGCATTCCCGCAGGCTGCGTTCACCTCCGAGCTGCAGGGGACACAGGCTGGATCCTTCTCTCCCCCACTTGAACGGAGTCAACCATTCTAAGATGTGACGTGATGGGGAACTAGCAGTCCTCGCCTTTTTTAAGAAAACCTTCCTTGATGGTGTTTACGAGGCTTGCCATAAAACAGATCTTTCAGTCTGCCTAAAAGTGTCTTCTGGCAATCACGCACATTATTTTTTCATTACCAGAGATTATGCTATTGCCTGAAGAAATCAGATAAAGTAGGAAAATCAGGCTGTTGACTGAGCAGGAAACGGAGAGGGATAAAGGGGAAGGTCTAAAAGCACCCATTTTTCTAAAAGCAACGAAGAAACCACTGGTTTCCCAATGCCTCATCCCACAGAGAAAGAAGGCACTCAGGAAGCGGCTACATTGGAAAAGCTTCTCGTTTTCCGTGCCTCCGGCTGTCTGTCTGCCTGAAACAGAGCTGATGTCACCTGCACATAAAATGCAGCTGCCTCCTCCCCCAAGCCTGCAAAGCTCTGGGTGGGGCTCCCACTGCGCCCCCGTTTCCCATTCCTGGAAAAGACAGATGGGAGAAGGAAGAAACAGGGGAGAAATCTGAGAACTGCTGGAAAAAGTGGGCCAAAAAAAGGCCACAAGGAAAGCTTTAGGAAAACAAAACCCACGATACAAAACCCTTCCACCTTTTCAACAGACACCGGCCAAGTGCCTTCAAAACACCAGGACCGTAAGGCAACAATGAGAAAGCGCCGTGGGAACATCGCCTTGAAAAGATAAACAGGGCACGTCACGGATCTCAACACATCAGGTGGCAGAATCTTGAGGGTGTAAGGTTTACAGGAAAATCCAATTTATTTTCTGCTTTCCTGTACAAAGTATAAGAAATGTCACCTACCTATTACAAATAATATGAGGATGTTTTACTGTGAAAGCTGTTGGTCAGGAAGGGCTCAAAGAAATTAGTTCTCTATTCTTCACACAAAGCAGACAGCAAAGTAGACGTCCGCTGAGCTTTCTGGATGCTGTGTTTGCTTATACTTCCCAGTATAAGCGAGAAACTAGAGGAGGACGGAAGGTGGACATTTCGATTGGACTGCCTCAGGTAGTGTGCACCTGCTTATTTTCCTGGGACATCTCTTATCTTATGTTCCTTCTAACACATTGACTATCCTCTAGCCCAAGAAGAGAGAGTAGCTCTGCGGCTGTCATGGTCACCCTGAACCCTGCACCTGTTCCATATCCCGAGTCCAGGGGGAGAGAGTCTGCACACATTCTTCCAGAGGATGCCAAAATCGATCATCTTAGGAGAAACGTTTAAGAGCCATCTACTCGAATTCTCATGGCAATACGTAAGTCCTTTTGGCCAAATCAGAGTATATAAAAAAATTATAAAGTAGTGAAACCAAAAGACAGAAGCTCCTAAAATCCTCCCTCAATTTTCCACAAAAGACCAGCTCTTGAGAGTTCCAGCTGGATAAAACATAATCAGAAGAAGTTAGGCGCTTTTGGTAAACAAGAGACACAAAAGATGACTAAAAAGAGTAAACTTGGGATTTATTTTCAGATCTGAGGTTTTTATCACACACACGCAAAAATAAATGTAGGGAAATCATATTTGCAGATTAAGTTTCAGACTATTTCGGATGCATATTTGATACCCAAGATTAAGAGGACACAGGGAAATATACTGATACAGAAACCATAATATGTTAGTTTATGTAGAAATGTTGCAATGTTCGTAATGTTTAAAAAACAGTACCTTTACAGCAACCTGGATTTGGGTTTTCTCATCAAGCTTTACATAAAGCATCCTAGGGGCTGCTAATAAAATACCTAATTGAGCTGACAAGACCTACAAGATGAGTCAGTCAGATTCATCTCTCCAAAAGCAGCCAAAAAGTAATCAAGACACTCTGGCAAAGGATTCCAATTACATCCTAAGCCCTCAGAATTAAAATATTAATTTGCCTTTTCCGTTTCCAACTATCAGCGTGCATTTTAGCTGCCATCACGGTACGTGAGCCGTATGTGGGAGAGTTAGCTGAAGATCAGAGTGCTTAATGGCTTTCCCAACGCCTACGTCCTACCTACGCACAAACATGTGAAACAGCTATACCACCAACGGGGTTTAAGTTAACAGCAAAGTAACTACAAAGAGGAAAAAAGATGAGCATGCCAAATTAGAATGAGCGCTCACAAGAGGAAGTGATGCGCCAGGATACCCAGAAAGCTGATAGAAGGCATCGTTGCACTCAAAAGGGAGCTAGATGAGTAAAACGGATTAAGGGGAAGATCTGGTGTCATAATGCGACACCCAAATATAAAGCACAGAATTAAACAAGCCAGGGCCAATTTTCACTCTACCTTCCCTTTCATACAGGTGGAGTCACTTTCTTATTCATTGGAAGGGGCGATTTGTCCTCCATTTAAAGCAGGCACGATGGCCCTTTGCGAAAAAGCCGTGAGCTAAGAGGTTGCCCCGCCCAGCGCAGAGAGCACAGATCAGGGCTGCCAAGAGTCCTGGAAGGCTTAGGAAATAAATGTCACGCACTTTGGCTGCAGCCAGGGACGAGAACATTATAGACGCTGTAAGACAAACAGGCTTGGGAGGGGAAAATGTGAGTGTAGACGTGGTCTGGGATTTCTACGACACATGCTGGTAAGAAGACCTCCAATTCTCCTGAACACAGGGCAGGGCCACGGCGAGCTCTCTCGAGCTCCTGAGATAGACACACTCACCAAATCTTCTGCTGTCACGGGCTGCCCATTTTTGTCACTGGCCACCACCATTCTTCCCAGCCGCTCCTTCATGTCCGCCAGGCTGTCAGTCAAGGCCAGCACTGCCATGATCTCGCTGGCCACTGCGATGTCAAACTGTGCCTGAAAAGCCAAAGCAGAAGTACTGGTCAGCGACAGTGCCATCTGGACATCCATTTGCACCAGGAGTGGTATTTCAGCAATTAAATTCCTGAAGGCCGGGGGCGGGGGGGGGGGGGCCCAGCCTCAAAGCGTCAATCTCGCATTGGCAAGTGTTTGCAGTGCTGGACACATGCACGCTCTCGTGCTTGGTGCCCTCTGGGGCGGGCTCTCTACTGGTGACCAGGCACTTCTTTGATTTTGTTCTGCTGAACAGGACTCAGCCTGGCTGGACCGCTGCGACCCCCGTCCGTGGCACTCTGTGGTTGGCTTTTGCAGCATGTCTCAGACACGTAATTAATGATTAATGCGACTGTCTGTCTGACGCATGTCTCTCCACGACCGAAAGTGGTGCCACGAAGGCAAGAACCTTGGGAAGGCTTTACTCCTGAGTCCCCAGCGTGGAGCACGGGGTGTGAAACCCAGCAGGCACTCAGTACATGTCCCCTAAATAAACACCTGCTGGCTGTCTCCACTGTTATCGTTGGTGTGTCCAAGGGGTGGCATTTGTCCAGCAAAGAGATGAGGAGCAGACAGTGAGAGATGGTGCTGGGGCCAGTTTCCCAGAGTCAGAGCTTCATACGGCAGTGTGGACAGCCCGTCGTGTATAGTCCCCCCAAGTCAAAAGGTGACACAGAATCAAATTTCCGCTGCCCATGGGGGCTTGGCCCCATCAGACCTTGAAGTGCCCAGCAATGAACACTGGACAGAAGCGACTTTCTGTGAAATATGTCTGGGCCTTCCTAGTCCCTCTCCTGGCTCTCACTGCAGGCTGTACACGGTCCAACAGGAACTACAAGAGAAATGAGGAACATGCCTTCCTCCTCCTCATAGTTCAGCCACTGGACAAGATCACTTCATTCAGCTCTGCCTGAATTCTCTTCTTCCCAAGGGGTCTGTGCGGCAGCCAAATGCAAGCTTACATAGAGAGGAAATGGGCAGGGGTCACACCTTAGAAACATTTTATTGTCCCTTGCTGTCACTGACAAGAAAGGAAATGAAATAAGGAGCTTTCTGGCTACTTCCAGGTGAGATTTCATTAGTCACGGATGTAGTGAAAAAATATTACCTGAAAGTCAAATACAACTATGCTCAATTATTACATTTTCAATATAACCCATTCCAAACACCAGTGACTTTTCATTGTATGATATTTAGGATTCTCTATACTACTATTCCATTATAAACAGTGCATATTAAAAACGCCTGAAAATTCTGAGGCTTTCTATGCAAAACATGAAACTAGAGATACTCTTAAAATATTAACTATATAAGTAATTAAGTAGCATTTATAATACACATATAAGCTCTACATTTGTAGTCATTATAACTTCAAAATTCTGTACCTTGAAAAACATGAAAAATGAAACAAATTAGGTCAATTTAAATATCACTTATTGGGACCCCCTGGGTGGCTCAGAGGGTTAAGCGTCTGCCTTTGGCTCAGTTCATGATCTCAGGGTCCTGGGATCGAGTCCCACATTGGGCTCCCTGCTCAGTGGGGAGCCTGCTTCTTCTGCCCGCCACTCCCCCTGCTTCTGCTCTCTCTCTCTCTGCTCGCTCTTTCTCTGACAAAATCTTTAAAAAATATTTTTTTATTTTTATTTTTTTATTTATTCATTTATTTGACAGATACACAGCGAGAGAGGGAAAAGAAGCAGGGGGAGTGGGAGAGGGAGAAGCAGACTTCCCGCTGAGCAGGGAGCTGGATGTGGGACTTGATCCCAGGACCCTGGGATCATGACCCGAGCCGAAGGCAGATGCTTAACAACTGAGCCACCCAGGCGCCCCCACTTATTAATCTTATTGACCGAAAGATGTACCTATTATCAGGCTGCTCATTTTTGTTTTGCAAATAAAGTATTTCAGAATTATACAGAGATTTTTATTGTTTTTCACAAATTTACACAAAGAACGATATGTGACGTTGGATGTATGTGAATCAGCATGGCTTTTCTGGAAGGTAATGTTGAAACATGTATCAACATTGGGAATCTTCTTCTTTGACTCTTCAGTGGCAGATCTGGGAATGTGTCCTAAGGATATCATCAGACAATCCACACAAATATGTGTGTATGTTCCTGCAGCTTATAATAGTCCAACATAACAAGTACTCCAAGTGTCCATTTACAGGAACTGGCTGAATTGGTTATAGTACACCATAAGAGAAGGAACAGAGCCGTTAAAAACGATGATACAGATCTACCTTTACTAACATAAAAATATGTCAGGGGTGCCTGAGTGCTTCAGTTGGTTGAGCGTTCAACTCCTGAATTTGGCTCAGGTCATCATCTTGGGTGGTGAGATCGAGCTCCGAATCGGACTGCATTCAGCAGGAAGTCTCCCTCCCCCTCTGCTCCTCCCCTGCCCCCCTTTCCTCTCTCTCAAATAAGTATATCTTTAAAAAAAAAAAAAGTCAATAGAGTCTTATGGTTAAAGAAAATAATTAAAGCTCGTAAATATAATCTTTTTATTTAAAAATAGATGTATGCATAAAGCAATACAAGATATAACCTTGGGTAAGTAACTGAAGATAATATGCCTGCCTTTCCCATTTGTAAACCAGACTTACAAACTAGATGCACTATGTGTAATGATTATAAGGCACTTAACAGGCATTCAAATCCCAGCCATTATTAACCTCTCATCTCTCCAGTACAAAAATACTTGGAGAAAGTGTGAAAGGGCTTAGTTACCAATCCCCCCTCATTTGCAACCCTTTTTCAGAAGTAATTCATGTCAGAAGTTGGTGTACATCTTTCCAGCTTCCATTCTGTGTTTATATACATACAGGAACACATATGCTGGCTTTTTCTGAATATACCCTGGATTAACTATACGGACTTCAAATTATTTTCATGTGTAATTTTTTTTTTAACCTTTCCATTTCCCAATTGGGATGAGAACTCTACTTGCTACTTCCCCTATGGGCACTATAATATTTCCACCTGCCGTATCTATGGTACAGAATGATGTACGGAAGATATGTAACTGCCCCTCCTGATGGATGTTTAGACTGTTTCAAATTTCACCATTACAAATAATACTGCAATTAATATCCCTATATATAGACTTTTTTTTTCTTGCACATGATCAAAAATTCCTCCACCTTTACTTTTTCTATATCCTAAAGCTGAATTCTTGGGTCATTTCAAATCTTAGTACAAACAAACAATCATCCAAGACACTTTACTAATTTAAACTCCAACGAACACTGTATAAACGCCTCTACTTCTTTGTAAACTCAGTACCATTCAGTACTAATTTATTTGTTTTTATAAGCTCACGGGTAAATAGTACCTCATTGTTTTAACTTGCAGTTTTACGATCACTTGTTGGCATTTTATTTGTGTTTACAAACTGCTCTTATTCTATGCATTTATTGAGCAATTATCGAATACCTAACTACTGCTATATAACAAAGTGCGCAGCTCTGACAATAAAACCCCTGCCCTTATAAAACTCAGGTTTGAGGAGGGAGAGGCAGAAAGTATGCAAGATAAAGAGTGCAGGCAAAGGAAAGAGGGCGTTGTGGGACAGGCAGTCCTGGTTTTTTGTTTTTTTAAGATTTTATTTATTAGAGAGAGCATGCGCATGAGCAGGGGGAGGGGCAGAGGGAGAGGGAGCAGCAGACTCCCCGCTGAGCGGGGCCCGATGCGGGGCCCCATCCAGGACCCTGAGATCATGACCCCAGCTGAAGGCGGACGCCCTCCCCCCGCCTGAGCCCCCCCAGGCGCCCCCAGGCAGCCCCGGCTGTAAAGGTGAGCAGTGAAGGCCGCACGGAGCGCAGAGTATGGGAGTAGCACATCGTGGAAGCTCTTTTTAAGTCTGGTGCATTACTCTTTCATTATAGCTAATGCAAACATTCCCTCCCACTCTGTTACTGGTCTTTTGATGTTTTTCTATGTGTCCACTTCTCATGTTCAAGAGCTTAACTTTTTATGATGTCAAAACGGTCTCTTCTTTCGGGTCTCTGCATTCCACGTCTGTGACATTCACACCTGCAGTGGCTGCTGACGCGTCCGACTTGTCCCTACTGCTTTTGCATCTTCTACTCAGCGCGCCCGACTGTTGTTGCTTTTCTTCTCCTCAAGGAGCCTGAAAACTCCTTTTCCTTCAGGAGTCGGAATCCATTTCCCAGGGCCACTTTGCAGTGAGTGCTGCTGGTGAGAAGTCTGATGCCCGCCCGGGGCTCGATCCTGAGGGACCGGCCAGGACTTTTTTGTCTGCGGCAGTTCTTTGGAATTTTGTTGCACCCTTAGTGTTGGTGTGAGTGCTACACTCATCCTGCGTGGCCCTTGTTAGGGTCTCAAATGTGCAAATTCATGTTTTCCATCAAGCCGGTGCATTTGCTGTTACTTCCCTGAGCACCTTCTTGCCTCCTGTCTGTTGCTCTCTCTCCTATGAGATGCCTATTAGAACTTCTTGATAGGTTTCCCATGCCTCTGGCCTTTTTCTTTACATTTGCTACAGCCTTCCCTTTCGTACCGTGTTCAGACAGAATTCCTAGGCTTGCCCTGCCCTCTCTGATTCACTTAAGGCTTATTCTCTCATCCAGTCCACAAACTCGATTTTTATTTTCACTTCATGGTTTTCCTTCCAAGATTGTCACCTCTTTTTTTCGCAGCAGGCATTTTTCCTTGTATGAAGGCCCTCTCAGGCTTCTGAGGATACCGACGGTATTCCTTGTAAAGACTCCTCCCACAGGACGTGCCATCTTCTTTTCCTTGGCCATTGTGAGCGTCCCTTTGCTGGCTTTGGTGTCACGTTTCGTGATGCACGTTTACTCTTGATGCTGGTGATGCCTGGCTTTGATCCGCCTTTTTACCTGTCAGTGGCCCTGATTTCTGACGACCCCAGCTTACCTGCAGAGATCAGAGAGCGCAGGACCCAGGACTCGCCGATGTTCCATTACCAGGCCTGTGCACACTCACAGGGCCATGGCTAGTCCTTCGGATGCCATCCGCGAGGTGAGAAAAGGTTGCCCTTTCCTTAAAAAAAGTGCTGCAATCAGGGCACCTGGGTGGCACAGTCGGTTGAGCGTCCAACTCTTGGTTTTGGCTCAGGTCGTGATCTCAGGGTGTTGAGATCAAGCCCCACGTCAGGCTCCACGCTCAGTGGGAGTCTGCTTGAAATTCTCTCTTCCTTCCCCTCTGCCCCTCCTGTTCGTGCTCTCTCTCAAATAAATAAATAAATCTTAAAAAAAAAAGTGCCACAATGTACTACTTTCCTTTGAGAAAGATGCTTTTCACTGCCTACAGGAGGCACAGTACACACGCAAGGTTTTGACTGTGACTTGAGGGGTCCCCCGGGCTGGGCGGTACACTGAGGCACGGGCCTCAGGACCACACTCAGGATCCCGTGCTGCAGCTCAGCATAGGTGTCCCGGGACGCTGCCTGTTTCCCTCTCGGGAGCTGTCCCCATCCACTGACGCTGACGGGTGTGCAGGCCCACTCTAACTCTGAAGTAGGACATCTCTTGCCTTTGAATGTAGAGACCCCTAAAACACTCCCATCATGTTTGGGGCTGTGCTTTCCTCCACGAATCCAACTCCATCTTCCAAGCTTTCAGAAGCTTCCTGAAATTATATGGCAATGATTCTGGTTTCCTAGCATGGATGTGGACTAACTGTTGGAAATCAGTTCATGGGTCCAAGTTCCAGGATACAGAGGAGCAGGGAGGGAAGGTACATGGGCTTAGTTCGTCTTGATTCAATTCTCAGATTTGCTGCTTAATTCAAAATTTCGAATGGTCCAAAAGTCTATTAGGTATGAGAACTGAATATTATAGGAAAAGTGATTATTTTTTTCACTAATAAAAATTTGACAACGTAAAGGCCATGAATCTAATACCATCTATGAAGTTTATTATACTCTAGAGGCTTGCTACACCTGATTGAAAAATCACAGAATGATTTTATGTTCCCTAAGCATCCTTCTCCACATGAAATGAAGGTGAGCATCATAATTTACCTTCTGCATTTTCTGCATTTGGGTAACAAGATGTAATCCTTGAAAACACTTCAGGCTATTAAACAAATAATGGGGTGTTTATTCTTTGGTTTATGAGACTTGAGTAATGTGTTTGAGATTTTCTTTCTTTTTTTTTTTAAAGATTTTATTTATCTGACAGAGAGAGAGCACAAGCAGGGGAAGCAGCAGGCAGAGGGAGAGGGAGAAGCAGGCTCCCCACTGAGCAAGGAGCCCAACTCGGAGCTCAATCCCAGGACCTGGAGATCATGACCCTAGCCAAAGGCAGCTGCTTAACCAACTGAGCCACCCAGACGCCCCTGAGATTTTATTTTTTCAGCTGTTAAGCAGATGTAGTATTAACTTGGTGGATTTGCAATAAAATATGTAAAGATTTATATTCAAAAGACACCTTGAGTGGTTCTTCCCAGAACTACAACTGAAGTCACCCAGGAAAAGGATGGTAACAAAATACCAGGGCCTTCCTGCCTCCTGATCCTCTCCCAGTCCTGCTGAGGGATGGGAAGCAACACCTTGAAATGATGAGAAACCCCCTGGCCACTGCAGGTGGACGTCCGAAAAGAGAGAAGCAGAGAACCAGCTTCGGGGCTGGTATAAATCAATGCTAGCAAGAACAAAGCCATTCCCCTGAAGAAATGTCACGTACCTGCCGGGAATACCCTTTCTCTGTGGGTGCCTGCCCAATCGTTATTTTTCGTAGAAATCGGTCATTTGTATCCAATACTGAAAAAGAGAAAAAGTGTCTTCAATCCACAAGTATGGACTGGCTGCCCCATGTGTCTAGAGCTGTTTTGAGTGCCAAGGAGGCAGTGGGGAGCAAGAGACAAAGTCTAGCTATGCTGCAGCTGACATTCCGGTGAACAGACATAGAGAGGGATCGAATAAACAAGAAAATATCACTCCGGGGTAAGTGCCGTAAGCAAATAAAGGCGGTGATATGATAGAGTGTGTCAGGGTGGGGGTGAGGATGGAGTGCCATTTTCTGACTAGGTAGTAAAGGAAAACCATTTTTGAAGTGGTCACATTTTACACTGAACCTGAGTCACAAGAAGAAGCCAATTCGTTTCTGAAAGGGTTAAACACTGAACAACCATTAAGATCCAGCAATGACACTCCTAGGTATATAACCAACAGAACTGAAAGCAGGGACTTGAACACATCTTTGAGCGTTCATGTTCACTGCAGCATTATTCCCAGCACCCAAAGGTGGGACAACCAAGCGTCCACCAACAGGTGAATGGATAAACAAAATGTGGTCTGTAGAAATTACACAGCCAAAACAAAGGGAATGAACAACATGGATAGACATTGAAAATATTATGCATAGTGGAATAAGCCAGATGGAGAAGGACAAACATTGTATGATCCCACTTAGATGAACTACCAAATTCAGAGAGAGAGAAAGTGGAACAGTGGTTATCAGGGGCTGAGGGGGGATGAGGAGTTATTGTTTAATGGGTACACAGTTTTTCTTGGGGATGATGAAAGGTTTCGGGTATAGACATTGGAGATGGTATAACCTCCATAAGCCTTGTGAACATATTTAACACCACGGACTGCACACTCATAAATGGTTAAAATGTCATGATACGTATATTTTACCCCAATACAATAAATAAAGTAGTAACGTGTGTTGGGGGGAGAAGTCAATTCTGATCAAAGCAGGCACTGATTCTTTGTATGGCTTTCACTGGTTGGTCCGAACTGCACTGATTTGTATTTGTTTGTAAAAACTAGGTTTGTTGAGTGAAAACCAAAATTACAATGGCAGGAAATCAGCAAGAAGGACGTAGGTTTCATTAATAATTCATGTGGCTTCAAACAACAAGCTGCCCACCGTGACAGCGTACAGCCAATTTACTAAACGCATTATATAGCACTGACAAAAATGATGACAAGAATTCTGCATTTTGGGACTGAGAGCATCTGTAGGATGAAAAATGTTAACCTTTTCTTTCACACACGAAGCACCAGCCGGCCTGCCCACCTTGGCCACCTGTTGTTCCCTGACTCAGCTAGTCCCACTCTCCATACAACACGCCCTCTCTCCCGCACACACTCAACACTAACCCACTCAAGTGCACAAACATCACGCATCAAACGCATAAAAGCCTTGATGATTTTAAGGTCCAAGCAGAGTCTATACAGAGAAAGGAACACTTTTCGAAACTCTCACTAGCTAGTACTTATTCCCAAGACCTGTGGCACAGTCTTATGTGTGGGATACGCAATCTTGGCATAAGAAGGGTATGATGTTTGTGTTGGAAATTCAGCTGCTGTTATTTAGCAAAGAGAACACAAACAAGCCAAAAAGAAAAAAATTAAAAAGGCTGGCAGGATCCACTCGAAGCACGGGCATCGGAAGCCCGCGTGTGCATTTAGTGGGGTCCTGGCAGAGCGGGGCGCCTCACAGCCCAGCGGGCTTCGGATGTTCATGGCCGGGGGAGGCATGTGGTTGTGTCAGGGCTATGGAAGAGGCATGAAAATTAAACTCCTACACACAACATAGATACCAGAAAGGAACCCTAAGTTAGTGATGCTTAATTCCCGGCCTCTCAATGACAGAGCTAAAGGTGGAATGCAGAATGCACATATGCATTCCAGGAATAGTTTCTGAGGGCCAATTTTGTGGCAGGTCCCACGCAAGCTGGACAGGGATGCAAAGATGAACAAGACGGCAGTCTCTGCTCGGAGGCGTTGACTCGCACAGGGGAGATAAGGGAGGTGCAAGGGAGTGTGGGTCTGAAGGGGGCCTTGGGCACTACCGTGCTGCCCGGGTCTTGAGGAACACCCAGGGTGCGCCTAGCGGCCTCCTGAACAATAATAGCGGTTCAGGTCTGGGCGGTACAAGGTACTCCGTCACGGGCAGGGCCACTGTTTTGGTTTAGGTGGAAGATCTGTCATGATTCCCTGCAAGGTTGTCGGGGCAGTGCTGGGAACCAGTAATTGATGTCACCTCATTGAGGGTGACTGAGGCTTGTGGGACCTTGGCTAACGGCCTGGAGGCGGATGAACCAATGAGACAGGGGGAAGGGAAGGCTGGGGTTGGGACGGTGCTCAGAGAGGCAGGGGCTCATGCTCTTCTAGGAACCACAAAATGACTCGATGGCTACTGTTCCTTCTTTTTAGGTTAATTGTTTCTGGAATAGTCTACGGGCTCTGGTCCCACATTGTTGCCAGGCAGTGAGGACTTATATAAGCTACTGATAGTCTGATGGGAGGCACAGGATGAAAGAACCACCAGTTACATTTCTTACAGAGACAGAAAGGGTGGCCATTACATAAATACACACCATCCATACAGTCTGAGAGGAGGTGTTCAGCCCCATGCCGTCCCCGAGTGTCCCCCTCTAGTTATCAAATCATATAAGGACCTAACCTCATCACAAGGGTTACACTATTTCTAGGTCAAATCTCATACTGCCTTAAAAAAAAAAGGAAAAAGACCCTACATTAAATGTCCTAAATTCACATGATAAAGAGTTCCATTTTTTTATATTAATTCATGAGCGTGAGAGCCAAACTACTTAGCAAACGTCATTCTAAACTCCTCCGATCCAGGTTGCCTGTCTACACGAATAACATTTTCTTCACTTTCATGCCACAAACAATCATATAATTCTAGTATTTATCTGGAACAACTTTTTAAAAGTTGTTACTTCCAGGGGCACCTGGCTGCCTTCAGCTCAGGTCACGATCCTGGGGTCCTGGGATCATCCACATCGGGCTCCCTGCTCAGTGGGAGTCTGCTTCTCCCTCTCCCTCTGCTCCTCCCCCTACTGGTTCTCTCTCTCTCTCTCTCTCTCTCTCTCTAATAAATAACTAAATAAATAAAATCTTTAAAAAAATTTAAAAAAAGATAAAAGTTGCCACTTCCATTATTTAAAAAAGTCAGTAGGCTTCCCAATAAAATGCTGATAATGTTCATAACCATTACTACAATTGATGTATGTCTGTTAATAATAAATTGTGGTTCATCTACAAAGGAATATTCTAGATCCATTTAAAATTACCATCACAACAAAGAGCCAACTAAATGGAACATGCTACTTAAAAATGAAGCCGGTAGGATCTAAAACCTATGGACCTAAATGAAACATTTTTTTGAGTTTCCAAAATGATGTTACTCTCCTTCAGTTTGGGAGACCCACACTCAGAAAACTCCATTATGCAACTATTCCCACTGTGGCATCTATTGATGGCTTGGGCAGCACCGGCGAATTTGCAAAGCACTCTGTGCTACAGGAGAGCCACGCAAGGCAGACGCTGGTAATTATTACTCCGTTTTACAGATGAGAAAACAGAGTAGGCCGTTCATTAAAAACTGCACAGCTCATACATGGTGGAGCTAAGACTCAGTCTCTGGTGTCTGTCTCTCCACCTCACCGTTTGCGGGAAAACACTAAGTTCTTAACGAACTGGTTAAGTGGATTCTCAGAAGGGAAGCTTCATGACGGGGCGGACCCGGGCTGTGTCCGGGAGAGTCTAGGCCAGGAGACAGGGTGGGGACGGTGGGAGGACAGAGCGAAGGACGAGGTTAGGCCCAGCTGCCTGGAAAGCAGACAGGGAGGAAAAGCCCCTGGGGCCACACCGCGGCGATGCCTCCGGCCAAGTGTTGTGGTGGCCCTTGGGCCCCACACAGGATCTTATCAACACACTGGGGGCTTCTGAGCAAAGAGGTGACAAAACAACATCTCTGTGTTATAAACCTACTGAACTGGGAGATGGCAGTGCTCACAAGAACTTCTATCACAAGGTAACTGCAATCCGTCAGGCATCTGATAAAAAAAAGGTTCTGGAAGTGGGCAGAAAGGAGGAAGGCGAGTGGGCAGGTCTGAGGAGAACAGGCAGAAGGTCAGGAACCCAGACCACCTCCTAACCCTCCCGAGACGCTCGGAGCATCGTCACGCGTTCCCAGCCGCGGAGGAGAAAACGAAGTCATCTTCCTTGGACGCGTGTCAGGGCGAGTGAATGGGACAGAACCAAGCAGGGCAGCGGGGGCAAGACGGGGAGTGACGCTGCCTCCACAACGGGAGGCAAGGCTGAGGGGGGGGCTGTGCTTGCAGCCCCCGGGGGGGTTCCGGGTCCGTCTGCGAGCCTGAGGGGAAGAAACGAAACCGGGTGCTTGGGAAAGTGATGAGTAAATGTCATCCCGACCCGCAGCCAGCACCCACCTCTCTGCCATGTGATGGTGGAGGGGTCGATGTCGAGACGGGCGAATTTACCCATTTCCTCTTCCGTCAGTGCATTTGGATCTGTCTTATTTATTCCCAGTTTCTAACGATGAGGGGGGGGGGAAATGTGAGGAAGAGAAAGCAAAATGTAACCCAAATTATCCCTCTTATTTTATTTCTTCCATGACTGGAAAGTCTTTTTAAAACTACACTGAACTAAGAACAAAACAACAGCAATAAAAAACACCCAAACTACACTGAACTTTGAGTAAATTGTAGATTAGGCCAATTCCTAAACAGATGCCCCAATATCCCCGAAATGGAGGACACGGATATTTGCAATATACCCTAAAATGACATGAAAATGAGGCGTGGTTGCTAGGACACAGAGACTCTCGGGACTGTGCTGCGTGGCCACACGCTCTACTCAGAAGGGACATCGACTGCTGTTCACATAATTGATGTTCCAGCTCATTAGCTCTTCTTTCAAATACAAATACCAGTAACTCAGGTCAAGTTGATACCTATTTTTTTTTTTAAACAAGTTATCTCTAATTCACTGTGGGGAAAAAAAAGCATTAAAACTCTCAGTGCATCTCTTTCTGTAAAGGAAACATTCTAAGAAAGTTCATAATGAAGTGTAAGAAAGTAACCTGAAAATACAAACGCCAACAGAAATGACGTATGTTGTGGCTGCTGAGGTTGGTATATTGTACAGTATTCTCAAACAGACCAAACGTGGTTCAGGAAGAAGCAGGGGTGAGTCTTTAAAATCAATGATCACTCACCGGTGGCTGCTGCTTATACCATTAAAGTTAGTTTTTAGTCTCTGAAAAGAGCCGGGGGGAGTCAATGTGATAAGTAGAACAGCAACAAACAGAACTAGGAAATGATAATATGGGTGAGAATTAAGACCGCTTCTACTAGGACAACCTCTGCATCTTCCCGCAATAAAACCTCACAGGGATACATTTTCAGAGGCTAGATCTTACTTCCTCGAAATCAAAGAAAATTCATGAAAGAGAAGAACTCTCAGAAATTTGATTGAGTACCCGTTGACTAGGGTACTGCAGATCTGCAAAGCAGTCCTCTCAGTTTATAAGTGAAGGAACTAAGACCTCTAAAGGGGAACTAATTTGTCCACCTGCTCTTTGGCATCGGCAGGTCTGAGGCTTTGGGTTCTCTTCTCTCCGTTACATTGTTCTGTCTCTAGAGTGTAACTCCCCAAAGAGTGTCTGAAAACCCAAATCAAATCACGTTCAAAATTGCTGGCTTTGATCATTTTTCTGATTTGCCTCTAGGATTATTTTCTTGTTGAAGAGCCACTAACTGCAAACTTACTTTCAGTCGAGCAAGCTGAATGCTTGAAAACTCTCGGACACCATTCACTGAAGGAACAAGTCGATTATACAGCGCCTAAAAACACAAAACAAAAATAAAACACCACATAAGCTTAAGAGCCAACTATGAACTTGGATAATTCACAGGATATGACAAAGTTCATCACATTTATAACCAAACTGTTTAGATTAGAGACCCTATTAAAATTCTTGGCTAATATAAGCAATGTAGCCTTAAGTTCTATCGTTTTTAATAAATCTGACTAGATCTGAAATAAGGAACATTGCAAAAGACTTTGCATAAATATAAATATTTCTTTATCTACATAGCCTCACAACCATCAAATTAATATCTATCTTTGGCTTCCAAAACTCACAAGGGATTACTTTCATTGGAGGAAGTCAGGACCCTTGTAAATAGGCCAGAAAGTCCCACTTTTATCCATGGCCTACGTCTCTGAGGAATTAGCATCTGTACTCTATCCCCATCAGGTGTGTGTTTACATCAGCTGCATGCACCTGCAGCCCAAAAAGGGGGTCTAATCTCTTTCACAGCACATCTAGAATGGCTACCCGTAACATTACAGGCTTAAAAAGGTATCTTTCCAATCCCCTTAGTACAGAGCAGAAACTAGACCTTTGGACAGAATGAAGAGAACTGGTCTACCAACTGCTTTTAAAACTGAAGTCCTGTCTCAAAGAATATTTGCCTTAAAACGTACAACATAATTCACCCAACAACGTGGCAGGGGTCATAAACTCATTTGAGAATCTGACCACAAGTATGGATCTTCTCCCCAAGAAATAAGGACATAGAGAGTTCACAAAATGTTTAATACAATTTCAGACAGTTTACAGACTCTAAAGCTTTCCCATGAACTTCTTAAGAATCCGGAAATCCCAGGCTAAGATGTCCAGATGGGCCAACAAGGAAACTTTCTCACCTTATCGGTTTGAGTGTTTTCATGTAAAATCCTTGTGTCAATAGCGGCGGCCAGCAGGTTATTGGCAGCGGTGATGGCGTGGATGTCCCCGGTCAAGTGAAGGTTGAACTATAAATGACATGAAAACATCCTTCTACTTGTCTCCGACAAGCACAGAAACAAGGGGTTTCTGAACAAATAAACTATTGCACTAATTACACATACCCTTATAATGAGCTAAGTCCACAAAACAGCCTACATCAAAAAATCAATGTCAGAGTTTTCCACTTGACACCAGAGAACTTTTTTTTTTTTAAGATTTTATTTATTTATTTGACAGAGAGAGACACAGCGAGAGAGGGAACACAAGCAGGGGGAGTGGGAGAGGGAGAAGCAGGCTTCCCGCTGAGCAGAAGCCCGATGGCGGGGCTCAATCCCAGGACCCCGGGATCATGACTTGAGCCGAAGGCAGATGCTTAACAACTAAGCCACCCCGGCGCCCCAACACCAGAGAACTCTTAAGCGGACTGGCTCACCACAGATTCTTTCGTCTTTTGTTCCTGGGTTAAGGGTGAGACATTCTGATGGCCTTAATGATCCCCACATAAAGTATGTTGTGGCCCTTGTTTTCATGCATTGTTTTTATGATTTAGAAAATAGAGTCATGTCAGATATACTTTAAAATGAGGCAGGGAGTAAAACAAACAGTAACAATAGAATAATATAAAATATGACAGAAGTAAAAAACATGTATCACCCTCGAGACTCTATTCAGTTATTCTCCTTCCAGTCTCAGGTGCATGCATGTTTCTTATTTGTAGACTCAGAATGCTTATAATACATTTGGTAACTTTTTGTTTTAGAACTTATTACTACATATTTTAATGTAATAATCTTGTTTTATAGTTCATAGGGTCTGTATAATAGAGTTATAGTTCATAGGGTCTGTATAATAGAGTTGATGTACCAAAAGTTTTCAGTCTTCTATGTCCAGACATTTAAATTGCTACCAAATTTTCACTTTTGCAAAGAAGGCTACAATTACAAAGAATACATGCAAATAATATTTTTAAATTAGTTGCTAATAAGCCATATATTTCCAGCAGTGTGGTTAAAAGATCTTGATAATACCACCAAAATTGCTTTTTGAAAGAATTGAAGTACCACCCCCAAAACACCCGCTGATTAGTTAAAACCTCATTTTATAAAATAAAGTATATGATCAGTAGAAAATATGAAAAATTACATATGTATATTTTATAAAATTGTCATTTTTTTTAAAGATTTTATTTATTTATTTGACAGAGAGAGACAAAGCGAGAGAAGGAACACAAGCAGGGGGAGTGGGAGAGGGAGAAGCAGGCTTCCCGCTGAGCAGGGAGCCCGATGTGTGGCTCGAACCCAAGATCCTGGGATCATGACCTGAGCCGAAGGCAGACACTTAACCGACTGAGCCACCCAGGCACCCCTAAAATTTGTCATTTTTAATATCAAGATCATAACACCATAACAGTTTATACCTTGGCTTTTTTTTTTTCTTAAGTAGGTTCCACACCTAGTGCGAGCCCAAGACAGGGCTCGAACTCACAACCATGAGATCAAGACCTGAGCTGAGATGAAGAGTCAGTCACTCAACAGACTGAGCCACCCAGGTGCCCCTACACCTTAACTTTTATATTTAGTGTTAATATTACTAGCAACTTTACATCATTAAATAGTCTTCAAAATATAGTTAATATGATATCCTATTGTTAGACATTTAAGATGGTCTCCCTGTTTTGTTTTGTTTTTTAATGCTACAAGCTGTGTGAAAATAGCTTAAAATTAAATCTTTGCACACACAGCCAGTTTTTTCTTAGGATAAACTAAGAATGGATTTATTTGGGCCAGAAGGTATGATACTGTTTTAAGGCACCTGATACATATTTTTACTTGCCTTCCAGGAGAGCTTTACCAACATCTGCTTCCCAGCAGTGTATAAAAGTATATTTCAATCTCTCGCTGCTAAAATTTAGTATTATTATTATCAAAAAAAAATCCAACTCTGTCAATTTGGTAAGTCAAATACCTGGTAGTAGTTTTAATGTAGATTAATTTGATTATTAGTGAAAATAAACAGTCATTCGCTCGTTAATATTTCTTTTCTGATGTTTCTATTGAATCCTTCCCTCACGTTACAACTGGCTTGTTTTTCTTTCCTGCTGCCTATTTGATATGCACTGGGGTGCCCATTGGCCCCAAACAGGCTTCTCTTCTTCTGACCACAAACCCCTTTGCCCCTGCATCTCCAGCCACATGGCCATTACCACCCCCATCCTCCATTTCTTAACCAACTGAGCCACCCAGGCGTCCTAAAGATTTTGTTTTTTTATTATTTATTTGAGGGACAGAGAGTGAGAGAGCATGAGAGGGGGAAGGGCCAGAGGCAGAAGCAGACTCCCTGCTGACCCCATCCTCCATATTTGATCCTTTTTTTTTTTTTTTTAAGTAGGCTCCATGACCAGTGTGGAGCCAATGGGGGGCTTGAACTCATGACCCCGAGATCAAGACCTGAGCCAAGATCAAGAGTTGTACGATTAGCTGATTAAGCCACCCAGCCGTTCTGCCCCCCCCATTTCAATAAATGGAGTTGCTCAGCCCACTATATTGGACGTCCCCCCCCTTTCTCACTCCCCACATCTAATTCTGCAAACCCAGCAAACATGTCTTACAGCACGACCATCCTTTCTCTGTCCTCAATGCCACCACCCTGGGCCACAGCACCATCTTTCCCCTGGGCCTCCTTACTAGACTCTTAGCATCTGCTCTGGACTCCTAGCAGTCTGTTCTCTGCACTTTAGTCAGCCCTCTTCTTATAAAACTCAGTTTATATCAATATTATTACTTTGCCAAGATCCCTTCCATGGCAGACCATGATATTCAAATAATACCCAGGCTCTTGGCCATGAACTTCGTAGCCTGAAAGAGCTGGTTCCCGTCCATTTCTATACCTCACTCCCTCCACCCCTGCTGGCCCATGGACACACGCTGTTGGCCTCTCGTCCCCGGAAGAGACCAAACCCCTTCCTGCCTCAGTGCTGTCCACCGAGCAGGTGCCACTGCCTGGGATACTTCCCCCACATTCTGCACAACCCTGGCTCCTTCTCACCCTTCAAGTCTTAGTATTTTCACCTTCAATTCCTCAACCCATCTGGAAATTATTCAAACATCTTCCTATGATTATTTATTAAAGTTCTTTTGGTACACATTGTCTATTCATGCAGTCGGTCAACAAATGTGGTCTGAGTGCCGGGCATTGTGCTCAGAGCTGGGGATAGGGAGATGAAGAAGATACGGGAGGTCTTGGAACTCAAGGAACAAACTGCCTGATTGTTTCTGGCTTACTTAACGATCATAAGGCAGTTACAACTATCATATGCCTCAAGTTTGCCCCAAGTCTGAGCCATGCAGCTGATGCCATATGACAGCAGGACACCAATGCCCTTTGAATATCTGCGCAGAAATTCTCGAGCCATTCCCCTGGGCATGTTCCTTGTATTCCACCTCCCCAACCTGGCCTCCTGGCTCTGGGTCTTCCTGGCTTGTGAATATTACTCACCCTCTCTCAGATGGGAGGCTCGGGGCTATCTTTTCAGCAATGCCCTGCACTATTCTTTCTCACCCCACCCCCAATACTTGAGAAGTGTCCAGATTTTCCCTGAAGCTTCCCTGACACTCAGGCCTTCATAGGTAAACACCTTTCCTATTCACTCAACGAAACCAACAAACATTTCCTAGTGAGCCTCTATTGTGCACTGGGCGCTGGGCTGAGTGCTGGGTCTATGGCCACTAACTCACCATGGCCTACGGAACTGGATAAGAGCGACAGAATATGAGGGGATCTGGGGGGTAGAACAAAACCTAGAGAAGGACAGGCACGGACAGGGAGGGCAGAACGGGAAGGGAAGAACGCTCCAGGCTTGGAATCCAGAGATGATGAAGTGGGGAGAGGGAGGGTGGCCCGTGGGAACCTGAGACGGGGAGGCTGGAGCAGCATGTGAGGCCCTGCCTCGCTACACTGCACAGACAGTGATGGAGTACCTACTGAAATACACTCAACAGGGAAGCAACCGGCTCAGACTTGGGTTTTGGGAAGATTTCTTGGGACCAGAACTAAGAGGCCAGTGCAGAGAGCAGAGGTGATGAGACCTGGACAGCTGGTCAGATGTAGGGGATAAGGGGGTGGTTATGTGGGAGTTCTTGCAGAGAGAAGAATGGACATCTTTGGCCCTTTTGCCCATTTTTTCTTAGGAACTATTTTGTTTTTTATAAAGATTTTTTTTTTTAATTTATTCATTTGAGAGAGACAGAAAGAAAGAGCACAAGCAGGGGGAGCAGCAGAGGGAGAGGGAGAAGCAGGCTCCCTGGTGAGCAGGGAGCCCAATGTGGGGCTCGATCCCAGGACCCTGGGATCAGGACCTGAGCCGAAGGCAGACGCTTAATTAACCATCTGAGCCACCCAGGCGCCCCTCTTCAGAACTATTCTGGAGTCTCACTTTGCCCAAGGGAGGAGTCCAAGTCCCCCTGAATTGGGCAGTATAACTGATGGCTGACGAGGAGATACGTCTCCACTCTCTTACCCAGAAGCCTTGGAGCCATGTGGGGTTTGGGATTCAGAATTTTTGGTAATTTAGAAACATAGTGTGATATACCTCTAATTTTTTAATAATACACCCCAAGCAGGGTCTAGGTTGGCATCTATTAATCAAATCTGCAGCAAAATACATGAATATTTACACCAAATGCCATAGACATAAATAGCTCATAACAGTAAAAGTCAGGTTTTGCCACTGTAAGTCATGCAAATGTTTTTGGTTTTCAGAGCCTTTAGGATTCTGGGATTGAGGATAAAGGACTGTGGGCCTGGGCTTATGGCGCCCAGAAAAAAGGTTCCAGGAAGGAAAAACAATGACACATGACATGTTTTTCGCTGAGATCTTACCTCCTCCATGGGGATGACCTGGGCATATCCGCCACCTGCAGCGCCTCCTGAACAATAGAGCAGGTACCATTTGAAATCATTCACCAAGTACAGCTACACAGGATGAACGGCGTCCTAGGGACACAGCTCCCCAAACCCAGCAGGAAGGCCTGCCCCCCCAAGATGAAACAACAGGTAGTAAAAAATATTAACTGGCTTTCAAAGCAGAATAAAAGGGGAAAAAAGTCCCGACTTTGTCCAACTATGCAATGGAAGGACTTCAGTTTCTTGGTTTAAAAAAAAAAAGGTAAAAATAATATAGCAAATGTCATTACAGCAAACATGAGATTATTTTGTTCATTTATTGTCAGATCTATGCAGCTCCGTGTTATCTAAATTGCACACGCTTGAAGTACCAAAAAACTTTGTTCGAAAAAATCCATCTGGTGAACTCAGACTAACACATTATAAAATTCAGTCAATTGATTTTAGATAATAGTATGTAAGGTTTGGTATGCTGACTATTGCTCAAAATAGTACAGTTACTACATTAAAAAGATTTTGCTTTCTTTAAACAAGAGTGATACCTTCCGCATCCTGTCATTTTTATAGTGTGCCATGTTCTTTATATGCTCTCTCATTTGGTCCTCACAACCCAGTAAGCCAGATACTATAAACCATTTTGCACGATCACAGATGTGGCTCAGAGAGGTGACAACTGGCTAATGGTCACACCAGCGGTAAACGACACAGCCATGAATTAAACCACAGCCTTCCTGCTCCGAGTTTAGTGCTCATTCCGCCGCATAATGTACGACATCCTATGAGTTATCAGTACTTAATGAGCTAGGGCTTATTAACAGCTGTGACAGTAACATAAATATTATTCTGTTAAAACCCACAAAGTGCCAAGAACAAATAGTAATCGCAGCAACAAATGCTATTGTAATGTGAGCTGAAGGATGACCTCACGCTAAATCAGTGGAGGAGTAGTGAGCGTGAAGGTGACGGATGTGCGTCCAGCACAGCCAGGCAGAAATTTCACCACATCTCTGGCCACGGCCAGTCAGTTTCCAGAGCTCGGCAGGCCTGACAGCAGCTTTGACAGGATGAGCCCTCGGGCCCAACTGAAAGGCTCTCTAACTGTTTGGAGGAAAAGGCCTTTCTCTGTGGCAGGGATGATAAAACACCAATATGAATGGCAGAATTGCAAAATGGCTTGGCAAAGAAGGTCCTGATGAGCTTGAAGGCTTCTGCCCAAGGCTGGAGTGGTGAGCACAGGCCCAGCGACTGCTCCAGGGAACCAGGGAAATGGGCTTCCTGGGGGGCTCAGCTGAACGCCCCGCACTGCAGCCCCGTCTGCGGGGGGAACACCTTGGGGTGACCACCACGTACTGAGTGTGTGTGTCGGGGGGTGCCCGTGGGGATGAAATGTACCAGTTCCTCCGACAAGTTTTAACTCCCTGTTGATAATGTTCTTTCACAGCTTTTCTCTGCCCCAAATTTTGCCCTGAAAAATGTACTAGTTGTTAAATCACATACCTTTAACTCCAAAAGTTGGTCCTTGAGAAGGCTGCCTGAGACAGGCAAAGGAGTTGATGTTCAGGTGTGCGGTCATTGCTTGTACGAGCCCAACTGTCACTGTGCTTTTCCCTTCCCCGAGAGGGGTGGGTGTGATCCTGGTTTGGGGAGAGGGAAAAGTGAATTTCATAATATTTCCTGAACAACCTATGCAAAATCAACCTAAGGTACCAGAACCAAATCAGAGGATACTGGAAGAGAACACATCATCCCAAAATTCACCTAAGTGTTTCAATTTTCATGGCCCTTTACAGTCTACCCACATGACACAGGCCATGCTTACACTGAAGCCAAGATACAGACCACCTTCAGCAAGAGACCAAAAAAGAAAAGTTATTCAGCAGTGATAACATTCTCAGCTTCAAGAAATGCCATAGAATTATCCATCAAATGGTTTAAATAATCAAGACAATGTTGTGTCTCATTCTCTCTTCTAGGGCCATTTCCTGGGAGCCCAATGTGGGCACAAGGCCTACTCAATGATCCACGGCCAGACTCTCAGGACTGGAAGGCATCCCGTCGTCCCCACTCTTCCATCGCCTTTTAGATACTAGTGTTCAGGGCTTGTCTTTGCCATGTTCCAACACAGTGATGGAGGCTCGTTACCTCTAGGGTAGCCCATTCATTTCCAGATAGTTTTTACAGTTAGAGAGTTTTTTTGTGCCAAAGAAGAGATGTCTGCATTCCAGCAGCTCCTATCTCCTGGAGTCAGACATACTCAACTCCATTCCTTCTCATCCAACAGCCCCTCAAATATTGGGAAAGAATTAGCCCAACACTCCTCAGCACACTAAGGAGAGCAGAACTACTCTGGAGGAGCTTGTTGACCACAACACTCTACAAAACCAAACATCACACCACAGTTACACCATCACAGCATCAAGTAAGAGGACAAGTGTGTATTACACTCCCAAGTCAGGACCCATAAAACTGTTCCTTAGCATACTCTAACCAGTGTTCCAAGATTTAAAAACCATCCTTGTGGCTTACAACTTGGTCTCAGTGAGTTAGATGGTGCGAGTCAGGCTGTCCAGGATGCTCCATCACAACAAAGCTGATAATCAGAGTTTTTTCACCTACGAAACCTAGTGATATGACCACAATGAAGTAAGGCCCTTAGATATATCATCCCATCCCCAACTACCTCAGACACACCATGGCAATACAATCAATCCTTCTTTTATTAAACATTTATTAAGCACTACTATGTGCCAGGCCACTAGATCCTGGGGATGCAAGTCCAAGTTGGACTGCATCACTGCCCTCCCAGAGCTTACAGCGGATGGGAGATATGGACAGATCCACTGGCAATTAAAATGAAAGTGATAAACACATAGGACAGAAACTTGGCAAAGAGACTGTGTTACGAGAGCACGTGGCGGGAGGATCTGATGAGATTTGGAGCATTGGAGCAAGTCTTCAGAGAGAAAGTAACACCGAAGCTGAGATCTGGCAAATGAATAAACGTTAGCCAGATAAAATTGAGGGTGGGTTTGGGGTAGTTAGTATGTGAAGCTCTGTGCTTTACATTTATTGGGTTCTTTTTTATCCTCATTTGATTGATGAGGAAACAGGAATGAGAAGGTTCAGTAACTCGCCCGGGGCCACACAACAGTAAGCAGTAGAGCTGGACATCAAAACCAGGCAAGCCACCGGACTTCCCCAGGTCACTTCTATGGAAACAGAAGAAATTCCAGGTTACTTCTATGGATAGAAATTGTTTAACTGCTGTTAACCACTAATTAGCAATTTAAAGCATGGCAACAGGAAAGATCCCTCAGTGAGAGTAAACACAGTACAAAGAGGGGTAAGGACAGAACTGTCCAGAACATGTTCTCTTAAGGAACAGTCAGAAGAAAGCAAAAGGAAACTCAGAAGGAGCAGAAGAGAGAAATCTTGAGGGTGAGGCAGGGGTGTGACAGGGGAGTCTCTGAAGGGAACCACGGAAGCACGCACAGAATCACGTGACGCAGAGATGCCTGAGGCCAGGTGAGGGCCCGGCAGCCATCACTGCACGTAGCGACAAGGCTGGTGGTAGGGAGCTGGTGCGCCAACCCAAACCTCAAAACTCCTCAAGCCACACAACACTTGGTCATCATGAAGTCAGTTACAAGTGAGTGTTTACACTTTGAGTAAACTTTCTATTTTCTTAGTACAACAAGAAAAAAAGCAGTTGGTCAGCCACAGGCATCAGAATCTTATGACAGCCTGAAAAAAAATGTGGTATCAAAGTTAGGGTAGATTAAGTACCGTACTGACCATTTACTGTTTGCAAAGGAATAGGTGGTTTGCTTCAGTGTGTCACATGAAGAATTACATTTTCATTCCCAAGGATGTGCTAACATAGCTGCTGGAGAAGGCCCAAAGGAGACACACCCAGAAGTGACCTCCTCAAAACTTCAGCTAACCATCCAATTCTTAATTAGAAACACAGGACCGCTTAGCTTCCTGCCAACTAATACAATTCAGAAAATCAAAAAGCAGGAAGTATTTATTGGGAGCAATAAAAGGAGAGCTACAATAAAAATTTTATTTTACCTCATTCCTATACTTGATTGCAGACTTAGGTTTAATTGTTGTCCCACTATCCTTAACTCTGACTCCAAATTATCAAGTTGATTCAGAAAACAATGAGCACCATGTTAACCTAATTTCTTTTTTCTATAAGAGCTTAGAGTTTATGGAGTGGGAAGTGTGGTTTTTGTTCATTCTCTTCCTCAACATCTCCCTGCAGTTTTATCTGCTCCTCTCTATATCCCACAGCATTTATTGTGTATTTATTATGTAAATTTTCTGAGGGTATCATTACGAGCCTCCTGACACGGATGTCCTGCCTACCAGCCTACAAGCTTGCTGAGGTCAAGGACTATGCGCATTCTCATTGCGTTTCTGTCACCTGTCCAGGCACACGTGAACAAAGAACGCTTGACAAAGCAATGATGTCTTTTCTAAGACAAATACGTTTACTGTCGACTACAGTAACAATGTATTGAAGTACTCTGTGACAGTTTAGACACATACTAAAAGAAGTTTACCATTTACTCCAAGGTCAAAGAGATTGCTTATGCAGATTGTAGTGGTAAAACTGTGCATGGTTCTCAAAATCTAGACTCGAGAACAGTATTATTGTCATGAGCCATGGGTCTAACCAGGAGCTCCAAACTACACACTCAAGCAGCGTGTGAATATATATCACTCATGCCAGGTATCTTCCTGACTGGGAAGTTTTTAAAGGCTTTTATGCCTGACAACAAACTGTATAGTCCACTGGCTTGTGTTTCCCATTGCACGTGACTGATGTGAGCAGCTCAAAGGCCCCGTCAGTAGTGGTTTCTTCTGAATACCTTTGTTTTATTTTGCAAGTTGTGCATGTAGCAAAAAACTCAACAGATATTTAAATAGTTACCCAAGGCAGAAAAGCAAAATCTTAAAAAAAGTCAGTAAAGGTTATTTTTACACTTACCAAAAGGAATATTAAAAGAAAAAAAAATCCAATGAGGTATTTGGCATGCTACACATGAAAGAAAGTGATGTGAATGACTTTAATTACTCTTTAATGTGAAATTCAGTCTGTTCACAGACAAATTTGGGCTTCTTTGTGAACTGCTCTGTCTGAGCAATTCAGAGAAGTTCTACAAACTTCTGCACAGGGATCGGTGAAGGGCCAACGGAGCCCGAGCCTACACACATCCAATGCCCTACAACTGCACTCCGAGGCAAGTTCTCAAACAAATTCCTTTTCATTAGTGTAACTGGGAAAATATGTAAAACTCAAGAGCCCCTAAGATTCTTTTGGCATATTTCCCTGAACAAGTCCCAATACTTTTCATTTTGTCAGGCAAAGCAAATACAGTGATGTATAGGTGTAAATACCACGCAATGTGTAGCTGATGGAATACAGATGATTCTGACGGAATGAGAAATTCTGAAGTTTGAAGAATAGCTTTTAAAACGAATTAATCTGTGCTGCATTTGGGTTATTAACAGAAGATTTTTTAAAATCCCATTGTTTTAATTTTATTTCTACTGTTGACACATTTAAATCACATTTATGTGTAAGTTCAAATGTACAACCACAAATATATTATTTAGGTTTCTTGAAGAATTACTTGAGTTTCTGAATTCTGCTAAAGCATGGGGAAAGACTCATGTTACAGTATTCAGAAATAAAAGCAGGACACCAAATGGTATTTATAGCATGATCTCAACGTGTAAAAAGGATAGATATACAGAGAAAATCCTGGAAGGAAATATAAAATTTTTTTAACATTTCCAAGTCATGAGAGATTTCGTTTTCTCCTTTTTGCTTTTAACATGGTAATGTAATTTTTATACTGTAAGCCAGTATTATTTCCAGAATATAAAAAAAAAAATCTTGCAGGAAAAGGAAATAATTCTCCATTTAATGGAGGGGTCCTTTCTATTTCTGAAGAAGCAGGGACAGCATGTGTAATGGTTTGACAATTGTCACTTTCCATAACTGATGTGACCAAAAGTAAAACTATGGAGGGGGTCTTTATTGCAAATGAACTTTTCATTTTAGATTATAAATAAAATGACTGTCTGGTGTTTTAAACTGATCTCAAATATCCAGCTATTAAAAAGTTAGATTAAAAAGGCAGCTTACACACTTAAAAAATGCATTTGTTGTTTGTGTGGTTTACACAGCGTGGTATCTATTTTCTAAAATCCTTCAGGCTTTCCTGCAGACGCAGGTACGTCTCAAATTCCTACCCTCACAGCTTTTTTTCCTGATGCAGTTGAAAGGAACACAATTTAATTTTTGTTCCTTCATAGATCTTTGTTTTAAAAGGAACATACACCACAATTTCAGAAAAAGAACTGTTTATCTCTCGGGGTTAAATTTGTACTTGAAAATTGAGGTTTCACTTCATTTCTATCCACAAAACGACAACCTGGCTTCTTCAGCTCAGATGCACATACCAATGCCAGCAAAGAGACAGGGTGGGGCAAGAAGCAACGTTCTACTGGGCATGGGCCGACACACAGCCATAATCCTGGGAAACCAGGCTAGCTGTCACTCTCCAGCATGCGGACAGCCCTTGACGGTAGGACTTCAAGTTAAGAATCCGATAACAATACCATCAGAGCTTTTGTTTCAGAAATATCACTTCTGTGTTCCCAGCTAAGGGCAGGGCCATGTATAGATTTGTTTTTATTTCCAGTATTAACAAGTGCCCAAAAGAGTAAGTCACAGCCACTCCATATGAAAAATTACTGCTTGATTCTTCCTTGGTATACGGAGAGCCCATCCTCCTGAGTTTTCCTTAAATCTTCTCATCTTAAGCACGGGGAGAAAACCAACAAATCCACCTACCAAAATCACTCAGAGCCTGGAAAAAGGGAAGCAAATTTGTGGATAAAATACTAAATTTACTTTTGAAGTTCTGAATGTCCCAGAGTTTATTTCTGAAAATATACTGTATCAAGCACATTCCAGAAAAGCAACACTGATTCCATGTGTGCTCCATACCCTGGGACCCAGGGGTCCCCCAACCCACTCCCCAAGTCAGCTGGCTCCTTTCATGGATCTGGCCCCGGGGGTGCCTGTAGGTGAGGCCAACCTTTCCTCTCAACATGGAGCTTTCTTGCAGCTCAGTTACGGAGACGTTAGGGGTGGGGTCCTAGCTTGGAAAGGACCCTGGTAGGACTGGGAGTCCAACTGTAGTGAGCCTGAAAGCCTGAGGGAGACTTGAGCCACAGGCGAGGTATAAATTCCTTAAAACCACAGGCACTGAGTGACTCTGAGAGCCCTAGCTGTCTATCCTTCCAAAAGAGTGACAGAGGGGCTGGAGAAAGAGAAGGGAGAAGGGGAGGGGAAGAAATATGAAGAAGTCATTTGGCCATTAAGGAGGTGAAATTATGGATTGTAGTTTTATCTTTATTTTAAATGGTTTTAAAACATTGAATTTAAAACCTCTAGGGATTTTTCCTAAGGAGGTCATTAGGCAAGTATACAAGTGAGCACATGCAGGGCTGTTGATTTTATCACCGTTTACAGTGGCCAAACATGGGAAGCAATTTGAGTGCCCATCAACAGAGAGTTGGCTAAATAAATTGTGGCACATCCTTATGATATTTTCAAATCATTTTCTGGCCTGAATATCCTTGAAGAATTGGAAGCATGCTGACCTGTCGGCCACTGAGCCACCCGGGGCTTCACGGTGCTGAGAAGATGTGTGACATGGAATCCACCCGCGTCCCAGGCATTTTTAGTGCCCCCTGACCCAGAATCTAGGATGGAAGCAGTGGAATGATACGCAGTCATGCAAAATGATCGCCAGCTCTACACTGGCCCACACGGAGGGAGCTAGGTACCTGACACACTGCTGAATAATCACACTGTTTACAGAATAGCTCAGGGAAGATGAGCTCATTTATGAAAGATTCCCTGTGTCAAGATGATCTCAAAGGTTACCAGCCCCTTCCTCCAAGTGGTAGGATTTGGGATGTTTTACTTCTTTGTTGATACTTTTCTGCATTTTGGGATGGCTTTATGAGGATGCATGACTTTATAACCGGAAAAAGAAACAAGGCGTTTACATTAATAATAAAATCTGGAAAAATAAAGTTAACCAAGAGAAGGGTCCAGTTGTAAGAGATGTCTCTGCCTGTTAACAAACAGGTTTTTGTGCCTTAAGCCTTGGCCTATATATCATCACTAAGTCACTACAATGAAATTTCAAGACAACAAAGGAATTTGTATGGTCTTCTGATGTTCCCTCAGGTCACATTGAAAAAATATTTTAAATCCCTTGTTTTCTATCATTTTTCAGCCCGTGAACATATTTCTTCTTTTAAAAAGAGGGAAAATAAACACTCCTTTTCACAAAAGCTCTGCATTTATCTTTTATAAAATGACCAACACAAATGAAAATGGCCCAACATTAATTTTACAATGCAAGAAAAGAGAAATAATGAACTTTTATAATACAAATACATAAATAAACATTAAGGATATTTAGAGGAAAATCACCTGTACATTTTCCATTAAGATGTTATTTCTGAGTAGAACACAAATACCCCCTGCTCAGTTCAAAATATTGTACTTCTAACTCTTATTTTGATTTTTATCACAAAAAAACTAAATGAAAAATCCAAGACAGAACAAGGATAATCAAAACATAATATGAGAAACAAAAAAATAAAATACTGGATTGGCAACTCGTTACACTTTATATATTTTGTGGAGGAGACTAATTTGTTTTACACTGAAAATGAAAACTTACCTCATGTCAAATGAAGGAATGCCAAGTGAAATGGACAAAAATGTCAAGCTTGAGAAAACGACAGATGTGAGGGGTGTGATGACAGACAGAAACAGGGAAGAAAGTTTTATAAACATGCTTTCTTAGTAAAATAGATTTTAAAAGTAGTCTTACCCAGCTACTAAAACGTATTTTCCATCTGCTTGATCCTTTAACCTTTCCAACAGGGACAAACGTACTTTGGCTTTGCTTTTGCCATAGATTTCAATTTCATCTGCAAGCAATCCTATCTCCTTGGCAAGGACATCCACAGCTTTTGGAGTCTGTGCTCTTGAAATCTCAAGATCACTGTGGGGGAAAACACATAAGAGGCGAGAGTCTCCTCAGCTTAGGTGGTCACCGCTAGAGTGAAAAGTCATACGCCACGCCAACAATTCACTCAAAGCAATTGCTTTGTGTTCCTTTCTCCCAAGCAGTATTAAGTACAACTGCTAATAATTAATGTGCATGAAAAAATGGTACATTTCTTTAGGGAAGCAACTCTTAAAAACTCATGAGGATCGTAGAACTCTGCCCAGGTACAAAGGTAACACCGATACTATAGAATTGTATACTCCTTGTAGAGTACAGTGCTCTCTGTGGCTCATCACTGTCACCGCAAACCATGAATAGATGGGTCATTGCATAATGCTCTTACTAGGCTGCTGCATGTCTCTTGGCTCTTCAAAAATGTGGAAATGCTATTTTGTTTTATCTGTGTCCATGCTTTTTCCTCTCTTTTTCCTACTTCGAATCCAAAATCATATTTCCAAATATTTTATTAATTGCATAACCATCAGTAAAAGGTCCTAGCACTCGAAGCTCAAGTTCAGACACAGGAAAGTTTAGGAACTCCCGAGTGTCACTGGGCAAATCGTTTATTCTATTTTCCTCGCAAGATGAGAACACCACTGTTCAGCTTACAGGAGTGCTATGACATCGGCAGGTGCTGAGCTTCTCAGAAGAATCTTTTGGGGCTCCTGAGCTCAGCTACTTGTTTTAATGGGGGTTCGGGCCATCCATCTGCTGTACTGAGCACCTGTTTGAGCGGAAGACATAGCAGGCACAAGACAGAGCCGGAGACAGCAGACCTCAGAGACTCGGTCGGGCATCAGGGTTGACACTTGGGGAGACAGCAGTGCCCTGCCTCACGCTGGGGCCCTTATTTGGGGGCCCAGTGGTCTCCACTGGCAGGCGGCCCCCTGCTCTGATTTTTCTTTCTCTCGCTCCTGCTGATACTCGACTTGAAGCCCTCCCACTGCTCTGTGTTCTCCTCCACGACCCCATGGAAGTCTGACCTTGGGGCACGAGGTAACAGTGAACCCACTCCCAACCCGAACTTCTCTGAAGCGCGCTAAGTACGGCAGCTTGGAGAGGGTCAGCGCGGCTCAGCCCAGATGCAGATGAGGGCGGAGCTCTCTGCTGCCTTCCCTGGCTGCACCTGCATTTTCGTTTCCAGCTCTCCCCCGCTCGCTTCACTGCCTATGCTCCCACTTCATTTTGCCTTCCTGTCTACACCTGGTTTTCTCTTTCTCTCCTCCCCAAATCTCCTAAATGGAAACGCCGACTCTTGGAAAACCTCCAAAGTTTTCTCCTCACTAGCTAAAGAGTGACAGTGATACCGTTCTGATTTTTGAGGAATTTATAAACTACTCAGCCTGTCTTTCTTCCCCCGCCATACCTCAGAAGTCAAATTTGGTTCAGCAAATAAAACACTTCTTCCCCCAAGTGGAATTTATTTAGATTTATGCAAAGACTTTGGTACACAATTTGGCAGAGTCCACCTCATTTTTTTTTCCCGCTCTCTGTAAGTAGAACGTACTCATTTACTTTTAAAAATTAAAGTCCTTTAACAACGTAAGTAACTTAAATTAAGATATTTGATGAAACAGATTACAACAAGAGGGGTGACATTACAAAACACACATTCCCTAGAATTTATATATTAATGAACACAGAAGGGGACTACGAAATTCAGTCTATTTCAGGGGTGAAAACATGGTCAGGTGGGAGGAATGGAACCATGACCCAAGGAAACAGATCAAATCTAAAAAGCAAGTTGTTATCAAATGAAAATTCATCAATTCCTGGAGGCTTTATCTACTGATGATGTGTTGTTTTCAGTGCATTGTTTTCCAATGGCATTTGTGCATGCCTGGACGAAGAGGGTGGGGCCAATTCACTGGAGTGGGGGGCAGCCAGGGGGCCCACGATGAGGCTGGAAAATGCATTTCTCTGGCCCTGATATCATTTTTTTTTAATTTTATTTTATTATGTTGGTCACCATACAGTACATCATTAGTTCTTGATGTAGTGTTCCATGATTCATTGTTTGCATATAACACCCAGTGCTCCACGCAATACGTGCCCTCCTTAATTCCCATCACCGGGCTAACCCATCCCCCCACACCCCTCCCCTCTAGAACCCTCAGTTTGCCCCTGGCTCTGATATCTTATCTAATGAATTATTCCTGCAGTATGTATTTCCAAATTTATGCAGAGAATATAGAGCTTGCACTTCATTAAATGCTCCTCTGAAGAAAATATCCATCTGGAGTATCACAGCATTACCCTGTCAGATAGTAGATATTACTATGTTCTGAGGAAAGCTAAACTCACTTCCCACATAGAATGGGGTTTGGTTTGGTTGATCATATGCCCCCAGCGTAGATACCTACATGGCTGTGAAGACCAAGCTGACAGGTGAGTTGGGCATTTCTAACACTGGAAAGCATATTCCAAACATCATATTACCGTATTTTGTCAAATAGAAGACAGCATTATGTTACAGACCACTAAGAAGAAAAAACAATGCCTTTTAATGCAGGATACATCAACAGTCAGGGACATCCTGACTTCAGAAATGAAAGAAATACACACCCTAGAACTGATAGAATATGGTACACATGTTCGCTAGTATTTAATTTTTAGGGCTTAAACAATAGAATAAATAGTGCAGCAATGTGATTAGAGAAAATTATCCACCATCAGAGCCATAATACCATGAAGTGTGCCCCCACCCAATGGGTAACTTTGGATATCTGAGGCACTTTGGTGCCCTGACGTCACTATAAACAAATCTGGCGGATACCTTGGCACGGGGGAGAGAGGCTGGAGTTTCAAGCAGTGAAGTCTCCACCTTGCATGCTGCTGTTCACGTAGCCATCTCCTTCCACTGCTGACCATGTTCTTCAAGGGACAGAAAGGAAAGCATGTTATCCAAGTAAAGGCTGACAGGGTACATATCTAAACTATGAAGATATAGTTCGGGGATGTTATGTCATGAATAGGATTAGAGTTGCACGATAACCCAAGTGAGTATCAGGAACACTTTTGTTCACATGTAATTAGCGTTGTAGATTTGTCTTAAAAAGGAAAATGTGAGATATAGGGACTTTTAAAATAGGTTAAGTGTTCGCTAAAGTCGTCAAGTACTAGAATAAAATTATAGAATGGGTTCTTCATCTCAGTTAGAAGGGAAAAAATGAGGGAAATGTGAGAATGCATGAATGATCAGCTTGGATGCCCAGCTTCCAAACTCTGCAACACCATTTCAAGTGTGATCCTTTTACAGTTGATGTTCTAGAACAAGAGCACTGAATTGTTAAACGGTGATACACAAAGAGAGCCAGAGAAATAAAATTTGGCTTAGGTTGAAATGCGACACACAATACTTACAGAAAGGTATCATATCCCATTTGGAAGTAACAAGTTTTATTTATTTTTATTTTTTTAAAGGGGGGGTCAGTTTATTTATTTGTTTATTTTTAGTGAGCGCCATGGCCATCGTGGGGCTTGAACTCACGGCCCTGAGATCAAGAGTCACATGCTCTACCGAATGAGCCAGCCAGGCGCCTCTGGAAGTAAGAAGTTTCACTGTATATACCATGTACATAAGAAAGAAACTAAAGCTTGCTTTTGCTTAATTCCAATGTGGCTGGAATCACAGGCTCCGGTTTCTCTCCTGATAGTCAAGGTCACTGCCAGCAGAATGCATAGCTCGCATGGTGGCGAGCTGGAGATCTTGGACTTTGGGTCATATAGATGGTTGTGGTTTGAAAAGCAGTCCACAATCTTTAATACTCCTGTCTTTGAAAGGTGAGCCCGATTCCCTTTCCCCTGAATGTGAACTAGACTGGTGGCTTGCTTCTAGCAAAGAGGAAACAGGTAAATGGTGGTGGCTGACTTTGACAGCTAGGTCATAAAACCTACTGCGGCTTCCTCCTTGCCTTCTCCTTTGGATCAGTCATTCTGGGGGAGGTTAGCTGCTCCTATCACGAGCAGCTCTACTAAGAAGTCTGCATAGTGAGGGTCTAAGGCATCTTGCCAACAGCCATGTGAGTGAGCCATCTTGGAAGTGGGAGGCTCTGGCCCCAGTAAAGCCTTCCGTTGACCTCCTGATTTCAACTGCATGAGAGACCCTGAGCCAAAACCATACAGCTGAGCTGTTCCCAAATCTCTGACCCACAAACACTGTGAGATAATAAATGTTTATTGTCCTAGGTTGCAAAATTTGGGGGATAATTTATTCCACAGCAATCGATAACTAACAACAGACCCTGATTTGGGTCCCTGTCCCACACTTGTCATGTCACCAAAGGCCTTATCTACCAAATGGGAATGACATTATCTTCCAGGGCTGTTGTAAGAATTAAATGACATTATGTGTGTAAGGTGCTTAACACTGTGTCTGCTCAACAGAAAACACTTGCAAAATGTTGGCAACTATTCATCAAAGCTCTCAACTCAAAAATTCTCAAAGAGCTGCATCAAACCAACCTGAATCCGCAGAGCTGCAGCAAGGAGACTCACATCATTCTCTGCAATGAGACCATTAAGATGTACCCCAAGAGAACCACCTCCAAGCTTCCCTAGAAAAAATTTGAGGGAAAAAAAACAACAGACTTTTGGGGTACTGTCATTTACAACCAATTGCTCCTAGTAAAAAGCCAGCACACTGAGTGATGTTCTCCTTTTCAACCAAGGGACTTAGGCTGTCATGCACAGCTCCAGGTGGGTCACCAGTCCCCGGCACAGCCTTGCGGTTCTTGACTGACTTGAGTCAAGACTGGGTAAAAATCGTGCTTCTACCCCTAACCAGCGACTGTGACTTTGGGCCTGTTAACTACTGTAGGTAGTTACAACCCCACACGTCTGTGAGAATTAAATGTGACACCAAAGTCCTTGGCATCTGATGTATATGTTTAAGTGACACATACGAAATAAAAGCTATTTCACTTAAGTATACAAAGTATAGGAAAGGGGACTCAAACACAGCATAATCGCAAAGTACTGTGTGAAAGATCAGGCTGTCTTTGATAACTTTAAAAATCCCCATCATAAAAGTGATATGACCAATTTTCCATAGGAACTGAGAGATTGTGTTTTAGGATATTAATTTTAGGGATGACCTGGTTTTCAAACTACAGAGGCATTTGGAAGGATTCTACTCCCTTCTTCAGTTGGCACTTACAGAGGTTATGAAAAGTAAGCACACATGTAAAATGCTTTAGTCTATATCCTCCCTTAGAGAAAAGAAACATTTCTAATAGCAACTTTTTTGAATTAAGAAACTATTTTCCTCTAGTTTGGACCACTCTACTTTTAAATTATCCATTTTGCTGACAGTCCTTTGCAAGAAAGAGCACAAAACACTTAAGAGTAAGTGTTTTGTGATGTTCTATAGTCAAATGTATTAAGGGTGTTGGAAAATCATATCCCTCCGGTATCATTTCAAGATTAGCAACACTTCACAGTTTTATAAATCATATTTAGGCAAAAGCCAAGAGTCTAGAGAATGAGATTTGTTTTGTTTTGTTTGAACCACTAGAGATCTGATCTAAGGGTCTTGTCCAACCATTATGGAAAAGAAATATGCTTCTCTCATTTTTATCTCTATCTTTAAATGACGAGGAAATAAGAAAAAGCTACATGCCAGGAGCTGGTATCAATTTATCAACGCACATTCCCAGAACAGAATCACAAGTACCCCGCCATAAAAGTGATATGACCATTCTTCCATAGAAACTGAGAGACTGTATTTTAGGATATTAATATTAGGGATGACCTGGTTAAAAAGTTCTGAATCCAGAGAACTTGAAGCAATGAAGATGATAACTCAGTGCATCAGGAATAACATTCTTAACAAATTTCATGGCTAAAGAGAATCGAGAAAGGAAATCATTACCTCACCCCTCTGCCTGTGTACAGGCAGGGCCCCACCCGGAGGCTGTCTACACTCGGCCTGCCAAGGCTGTCTACACTCGGCCTGCGAGTCCAGCAGGGGTCCCAGGGGTCCCGTCCGAAACCAAACGGGTCTTTTCACTTCCCACTAAACACTCCCCGTGGTTCTTCCAAGCACAGGTCAATGAATCACTTTAAAAGATGGCCTTTCATTTATAATTTTTTCTTGCTAACCAAACTTGCTACAATAAGGAAATTTAAGGCTAACGTGTCATATTGCTTTCCCTGGAAATCAGAACGGTGCTTTCCCTGACAGAAGCTGTTTTGAGACCACCCCAGGAATTTTGCCAGAATAAATGAAATGGGAGGGACCAATGCAAATTCTTCTTCAGTCTTCCTGCTATCTCTGCTATATGGAAACATTTCAGCTTTCTGCAGTCTGGCCCAGGGTACCCTTCTTATCACAAAAGTGCTGTATGAACCCATAGATTGAACTCTCAAATATTTTCTCAACCTCGGGTAGAACAAGGAACTCAAAAAACCTTTATGTGAAGTTTTGAAAACAGGAAAAACTAAAAAATTACAAAATCAGTACAGATAACACTTTCAAAATCACTGGCCATTAGTTTTAAGTTAAATATATTCATCTTATAGGATAACAGTAAAATGCAATATATGAAATCTTAATATAATGTTTGTAATAATACTCGCAAGGATTGAACTCCTAGCTTAAAACATCTGAATTCCACTATCAAATAACAATGTCTTACTATTTTTAGAACAGAATATAATGTAAGAATCTTCCAAAAAAGAAATATACTTAAAATATTGGTATCAACTTATATAAACAGCCCTTTTGAAATCACTGATACTGAAGTAGGAAGGAATTAACACAGAGCTGTTTATTCTAAACAGCTTGAGACTTTTTTAAAAAGTCAGAACATTAAATGTGTTATACTGAGAACTAGTTAAAATTTGAAATGAAATCCGGCAATACCATCTAAGTCCAAATCTTCCAGAATTTCCTGGAAAAAAAAGGTAAGGGAAACAGGTAATAGATATAAGAGATTTTAGAATAATTGGAGTTCAAAATTTATAAGCAAATATCCTTATTTTATTCCAAGTGCACGAAGATAACAACCATATTACATGCATGTCTAAGGTCTCTAAAGCTACCTTCTTACATTCTCAGAAACTCACTGGGAAGAGTCCTTCCCTGGGCTTGATTTTCAAATACAGACTTACATTTTGCTAATATGAAGTCTACAGCTATTCTGTATGCTAGAGGTGTGAGGACAGTGAAGTGGAGGGAGAGGGGAGGGGAGCCACTGGGTGGCAGCTCCAAAGAAAGAGGTGCTGTGAGGCAAGAGTTCATTTATTCCTCTCAAGAGCCTTGTTCCCACCTTACCCACAGGGAACTGAAGATCAGAGAGCTTAAGTTATTTGCTCAAAATCACACAGCTTGTAAATACGATGCAATTGAGAGAAAACCAAAACCAAAACCAAAAACCCCCTCTTCTCTTTGAGTAAGATCAATCTGACCTAAATTCCATGCTTTTCCCACTACATTAATTATACTATCTCCCTTTGGGACCATAGGAGAGAAAGCTCGAGGCCTCCCAGGATCCCCCAGGCCATTAGCATGAACCCTGAGATGCACTCCACACTAAATACACTTATGCTCACTTAAAATGATGCTGTCAAATACTCTGACCCACAAATTGCTGTTTTGATACTCTTCTCTGGGCCCAAGACTTAAGACCAGCTTCTCCTTTGTCCCATTTGGCACATCAGGAAATAAGTCTTTTTTTTTTTTTAAATATTTTATTTATTTATTTGAGAGAGAGAGACACAGTGAGAGAAGGAACACGAACAGGGGGAGTGGGAGAGGGAGAAGCAGGTTTCCCACTGAGCAGGGAGCCCGATGCGGGGCTCCATCCCAGGACCCTGGGATCACAACCTGAGCCGAAGGCAGACGCCTAATGACTGAGCCACCCAGGCACCCCAGGAAATAAGTCTTAATATTAGAGTGTGAAATGGTCTTGCTTAGGATGAATTCTGCTCTTTAGCAAGGAGAGCATTACAAAATCACAGCTTCTGTGATTTGAAACTTAATAATAAAATATTGTTCTTTTTTTTTAAAGATTTTATTTATTTATTTGACAGAGAGAGAGGGAGACACAGCGAGAGAGGGAACACAAGCAGAGAGAGTGGGAGAGGGAGAAGCAGGCTTCCCGCCGAGCAGGGAGCCCGATGTGGGGCTCGATCCCAGGACCCTGGGATCACGACCTGAGCCGAAGGCAGACACTTAACAACTGAGCCACCCAGGCGCCCCTAAAATATTATTCTTATAGCTAGCAAGCTGAACATTAACATATCCCTCTTTTATTTATTTAGTTAGTTAGTTAGTGTTACTTGGTAAGGATTTATTACCTAATCATTGTCATTCATCTTCTCAACTCACTTCCAATAGATCAGATTTTCCCTTTGGCATCTCACAGATTTTTATATGCCAGAGTAAAGTACCTACTATCATTCAGTGCTATTCGGAGAAGATACATGTCCCTCTTTTAAATCTAAACATTAGACTCATGACACAGAAGAGTGAACAGATTCAACAAGGTAGGTGTAATTGTTTTCTGAGCACTGCTTCTGGGATATCAGCCATCTGAAAAAATCTCTCCTGGGATTAGGTATTCAATAAAATGCCTCTATAGAATTACCTCATTATAAATCACCGCATCCCATCTATTTTTACAGCGGGGGCGGGGGGGGGGGGAATCCCTGTACCATTAAGATGAATGTGAAAATTTCATTATAAACCCTGCCTTCACCCAATCACCAGTTTATTAAGAATTCTTTTGAAATAAAAGCACCTTTCCTTTTCATAATGCTTTAAAAAGTCTCTTTGTTTAAGGTGGCAAGGTTATGCAAAAAAGAAGGGAGAAAAGCCTTTCTTCAATCTATTTAGAGATCAAATTTTCATACTAATCAAACTTGTTAAAATTAAAACTGACTGGGGTACCTGGTTGGCTCAGTCAGTACAGTGTGGGACTCTTGATCTCACAGTTGTTAAGTTCAAGCCCCATGTTGAGTTTAGAGATTACTCAAAAATAAAATCTTTATAAAAAAGGGGGATCTCTCTAAAAAATAAAAATTAAATAGATAAATAAAATTAAAACTATCAGGAAATACCATGCTCTTATGAACAGTGCTGACTGCAAAATGTTCATCTATATCTATTTAATCAGTAGAGCATTTTTCATCTTTCTCTTTGCCCTCTCAGCCCTATTTTTGAGTAGGAGACAAGTTCAAGATGTCTCTATATTTGCAACGAAGTTAAAACTGCAATCACAGTACAATTCTGAGTCCAAGTTTATTCATTCATTCAACACTCAGTATTTACTGAGCATGTACTATGTGTCACATATTATTTTGGGCACTAGGCATTCAAAAATCAAGAAGAAAACTACTAGTACTGGACCAGACACATTTAAAATAAACTAACCATAGTCAGTCTACATAATTGTTCTGTCAAAATATAATGCCTTGGTCTTTTTTGTTCCCCTAGAAGGATCACTGCATTGAAATAGAATGTTTTTATGAATGCCTTTAAAAAACTAAAGGTCCTCAAAAGAAACGTATTAAAATAAGGCACAATTTCACTAAAAAATATATGTCACCTTCATATATTGAAGCATAGGGCTCAAAGGGATTCCAAAAAGTAGCTTCTCCTACCAGCCAGGGTTATGCCAAAATTGTCCTAAATATATAAACTCTAATTTAAAAAAACAGCAAGTAAATGTAACAGCAAAGCAGCGCTCATTTAAAAGAACATAAAGTCAGAACTGGCTTTCCTAATCTAAATTCTAAGCAGAGGAGCAAATCTGCCATGCCCATCATTTATGGGTTAGGCATTGGTTTTTTCAGGAGGGAAAAGAAAGTTATACCCCAAAACTACATATACTTCAAAGAGGTCATTTAGTGCAAGCCTTCTATTTGCTAAAAAGAGCAATGAACCCTATATTCACATTATATTATACCTCTAATTGCTTCATTCATCTGTGTGCTCTTCATCCAAGAGCTGAGTACCTGAGCATTCTGGGAAATTCCTGAGCATCATCCCCTGCATCTTCCAATCCACCCCACCCCCTGCAGCCCCAGAGGGTTTTTAATCTGACTGGTTAATTATGGGAGGTGGGACATTTTCTAGAGGGGTGGGTCCATTATTTTTCTTTTTGAAGAAACAGTTATTATATGAATTTCAGTAACATTTATAATATCACGTTGTTTTCTTTTCCTTCCATTACATTCCAATCGAATTAAGTTTAGTGCATTTTGTAAATGGAAAAATGTAAAATAGTTATCTCAAGGTGACTGGATCAAAGTTTTACATACACATACACAATCTGATACTATTCTCTATTTCACTCTCCTTGTAGAGCAGTCTAGGTTTCAAGATCTAGAACCCCAGTGTGGTCCTGGCAGAAGTGGAAGAGGGCCGAGGCCTCCACCCACTTTGGCTCCACTTCTGACCACCTTTGGGGAAAAATGCCGCACACCACGCCAGCTCAGCACAGTCCTCTCCAACGCTGAAATCTGAAGCCTACAGGTAATGGGGAAGGAGGGAGGGAGGGTCTCTTGCACACACATGTTACCCAGGGACTCGTAAAGGTGGGCTAGGTATGGTGAAAAGCTTTCTGAGCCTCAGAATGTCTTTCGGTGAGTGCGAAAAGGGCATCCCTCTGGGCCCACTCTACTGGCCCCTCGCCTGAGTGCCCTGCTGTGGGCACAGCCTGAGCTCCTTTGAAGGTGGGTCTCGTGTGGTCTCAGGCAGTCCTGGATCCCTTGGTGAAATACCATCCTCAGACCACCTCTGTTTCTTTCTTTCCTTTTTTTTAAAGATTTTATTCATTTATTTGACACACACACACAGAGAGAGAGAGAGAGAGAGAGAGAGGGCACAAGCAGGGGGAATGGCAGGCAGAGGGAGAAGCAGGCTCCCTGCTGAGCAAGAAGCCCAATGTGGGGCTCGATCCCAGGACCCTGGGATCATGACCTGAGCCGAAGGCAGACGCTTAACCGACTGAGCCACCCAGGCGCCCCGACCTGTTTCTGATGGTGACTTTCACACTGCTCTGAGGTGACTCTGGGGCTCCAGGGAAGTTTCTGAGGAGTCACCGCAAGGGGAAATCGGGGAGACACAGAAGGGCTGGTCTCTGTTCCCATCCCTTGCAGCAACTGTTTTCATCTGCTTTGACATGTGGAAATTCACCTAAGGTTTCTTTGGGAGAACAGATTCTGCTTTGTTGTATGAGACTGAAAACCACTATTTCTAGTGTACCTCACACATGGACAAATTACCTACTTCAGGTCACAGCTGACTGGACTGCTCAACACTAGAGGCCAACAGGGGCACGTCTGCACGTGGGCGCAGGAGGTGGCTACTGTGGTTGGCATCTTGGCTTCTCTTTGCCCAACAATATGGTTTCAATATCAGGTAATCCAAAAGGTAGGCACATCAACATTCCGAGTTTCCTATCCTGTGCACGGATGTTGACGATGACCAACCTTTCAGGGATGTCCTCGCTTCTGAATAAGGTTCTCGTTTCCCATAACAATCTCACCTCTTTTCTTCAGCAGCCCAACACCAATTTTAAGACATTTACCCACCTGACAGGAAGTCATGGGAACAGTTGAGAACTGTAGTTCCTGGTTGTATCCAAGAAAGGGGAATCTCTTCTGGCTTGGGAGAGCCCAAGACCACAATATCAGCCTCATGAAGCTAGAAAGAAAAAGAAAAACACCGCGCACGTTTTAATCTGTGGCAGAGACATGTGACTAGCGATCCGTGTCAACTAGCTTCCGATGCAACAGATGACCATCCGGAGGTTGGTGCGACACGGATGACACGGGCAGACTCACGTCACTGATTTTCTAATGCGGCACAAATCAGCACAGGGCGTGACTATCATATCCCAGAAAGAAAAGGAAAAGGGGCAGTCAGTTCAGGGCCTCCACTGTGGGCAGTTACCGCCATCCACACGTCTTCACCACTAACTGCAGTATCAAGAAAAAGGATGGTGCCACGAAAACTGCACAGACGGAAGCAGGAGACTGAAAGGTGTATGGGGTGGGTGGCATCTGGATTCACGCAGCGGCTCAGGAGGAAGATGCGCGTTGGAGGGGAGCCACTCTAAGATCTGGCCAGTTTGGCGCGGGGGCGGGGGGCGGTGCCGCTGGCTTGTTCAGCTACACGATCCAAATTAGGCCCATATGGAACTTTTACTGGATCTATGGGAAGATTTTCAAGAGCTCAAGAAAGAATCTCATTTTCCTGGAGGCTCTGCTTAGTCTCCTGTCAAACTGCTCATTTTTGTTTTGTTTTTTTTTTTGAGAAAAAGGGAAGAATGCAACTATTAGCACAAAACACATTCATCACAACCGTCCTGTCCAATTTTGGTGACAGTGCTGGAGGAACATGTCTGGTAGGAAGGTAACATCTAGAAGAGATTAGCTCTGACCTCAACCAAAGAATGGCCACCTGTCCCCATACCATCCCAACTAAGCAACCGACGATCACAAACCGGATCCATACGTGGAGAGCCAGAAAAGTAAAGGAGGAATCTGAGACCCTGCAGGGGAAAACAGCTATGACTGCGCATGTCAGCTATATGGGTTGGTGCTACTACACCCACTTAATAGACAAGGAAACTGAGCCTCAGAGAGTGTAAGCAGCTCTCTGGTAAGTCCTGTTTCCCTAGAGGAGCCAGTCTTAGAACACTCAATGAGGGGAGAAAGAGACAGCTGCCTGGCCTCCACTCTCCCACACTGCTTTCCTTCTCCCATTGCTTTTTCCACAGACTTCGGTGCCCTGCAACTGACTGCAGATTCTTTAGAATCAGACAAAGGAGTGGCAGACAAAACATGAAAACAGCCCCACTGCCGTGACCACCACCCAACCACCCCATCAGTGAATGTGCTCCACGTGCCCTCATCCGTTCTTAACTTGGACAGGCTGATTGCTGAAGAGCCCAGGGAAGCACCAGGTGAGCAACTCAGCCTAAGAGTCTGTAACACAGCCTGGGCAAGAGGCTGCATCTGCTAACGTCTCTTAGAAATCTCGGAACAAGAGATGGCAGCGAGGGAAAGCAAATCCATGACGGTCCTACCTGGTTTATGAAGAAAAAAACGCCAGGATCTAGAAAAGCTCCAAGTGTCCTGATAGAGGAGGAACATGGTAACAATTTAAAAGGCATGGCTTCTTTCTTTTTTTTTTTTTTTTAAGATTTTATTTATTTATTAGAGAGCGAGTGAGAGAGAAACAGCATGAGAGGGGAGAGGGTCAGAGGGAGAAGCAGGCTCCCCGCTGAGCCGGGAGCCCGATGTGGGACTCGATCCCAGGACCCCAGGATCATGACCTGAGCCGAAGGCAGTCACTTAACCAACTGAGCCACCCAGGTGCCCGGCACGGGGACTTTTATCAAAGAGCTGATAAAGCCAACCTTTAAAGTTAACATCCCGGGAACATTGATCAGTTTAATCACGCCAACAGGGAAAAGGGAATTAACATTCGCCGGGTCCCACTAATGAGCCAAACAGTGCTCACTGCTTTTCTCTGTCGTACTTCATGAAGGCACAGGAAGAATACACTGAAATGGTGTCACAGTAAATCAACTGCATTAATCACATTAAAAAGAAGAGAAGTCCCTACCAAAACAACCATCTTTTTTTTTTATGCTGTGGGACCACAACACTATGCAACAGAATTCAGAAGTTTACTGCTAACATCACCAGCACCCTAGTGCAGTTCATGTCACACGTTCTCCACAGACAGATCTGAAAAGCAGCGAGATTTTTGGGTGATGTTATATTTAGGGGCAAAAAGTGTTCTTAAGGAAAGAGGATTTTAAACATCTGAATAAAAACTTGTATTTCTTCATGTACTGATACCACGGCAGATACTCAACCACAGTAAGCCTCAAGAGAAACTCAATGTTTAACTCCTGTTGGAAACGATCAGCAGATAAGAAACGCCATGGCGCTACATTTTCACGTACAACAGCAGCAAAAACAGAACATGTTAAAACTTCTATAAAGAGGAAGTTAATATGTACAAGACTGAAACATTCATTTTGGAAAAAGCCAAGGATCAGAGGTTCACACAAGTCCCCTAAGAACACTTAGTTTCCTACACGTGGTGCCTTTGATACAACCTGTTCTTTTCATTACCTATAAATCTCAGGGATCTCATTCCGATCCTCAACTCCATGTTTAAACACAACCCTAAAGTGGGCTGTGCCAATAAGCAACTGGAAGACAGTTGATCCCATAGAGAAAAGACAAAAGTCTCCGCCATTAGCAATGATCACATTGGAAATGCTAATTCTTTCTGGAGAGGAAAACTGCTAAATGCTTAAATCAATAAGTAACTCACTGAGGAGCAAGGAAGATTTTAATGAGCTAAAACTCAAGGAGAATTATCGTCTTGCTGGCTGTTTCTACTTTCCTCCTCCCAAATGGGAAAGACCCTGGCCAAAGCCTGGCTTGAAACTACCTCATAACAAAATATTGCTTTCTCTGCCGAGGCTTGAGTAGAAGCAGCTTACAGAGCACCGCCCACTCCCCAGGCAGAAGACCAAATGTTAAAACAATAGCAAGACACAGAAATGCTGACGTTTAATGTGGGGCATATGGGAGTAACGTATAGTTCAGATATCACGAAAACTATTTTTCTCTACGTCATTGATTTTTAAGAGCAGGGGGCAAGCATCAGAAACTGGACAGAGGGAGATAGAGGACATGTGATTTCAAGGTCATAAGGAACATCATGGTTTTGTATTTAGCAAAAAAAAAAAAAAGCATCTTAAAATTCAAATTACAGGAAGTACAGCCCCCCCGCCACTTGACTAGAAGACAGAATTTATCTTTTGCTATCGATGTGTTTTCAAAGAGCACATATGGGCAGGGGCGCCTGGGTGGCTCAGTTGTTAAAGCAGCTGTCTTCGGCTCAGGTCATGGTCCCAGGGTCCTGGGATCAAGCCCCGCATCGGGCTCCTTGCTCTGCAGGAAGCCTGCTTCTCCCTCTCCCACTCCCCCTGCTTGCGTTCCTGCCCTCGCTCTCTCTCTCTGTCAAATAAATAAAATCTTAAAAAAAAAAAAGGGCACATATGGGAATCTCAGATATGAGATATACATATATACCAGAAGCTGGCATGAGTAAAAAAAAAAAAAAAACAAGGTCGAGAGAGAGGTTTTGTTGAATCGTGATTATATTACTTGAGACCTATACAACCTGTTATCAGCACAGTTCAGAAAATAGAATTCCAAAAAAATACAAAATAAACCAATGGGTCCTTTCTCCAGGAAAGCTGTGCTTCTAAAATTATAGTCACTTAGAATAAAAAAGGTCCAGAATTTCTTAGTGAATAAACTCAGCGGCCACCCCTCAGGCCCTCAAGGGCTACTTGGGGCAGACACTGAGGTCGCTGAGGATCTGAAGAAAAAAATTCCCTGCCTACAAGATTTTAGAACTAGGATCTTCTAGATGGAGGGGGGGAGGGGGGCAGAGGACAAACCACTCGGAGAGGAAAAGAAATGATTAAACATCACATTTCTACTCATTTTGCCCACACAGACGTCGGCGTTCTTGATCTGTCCCTGCACACGAGCTGGGAGCGTCACACTAAGTACAGAGAGGGGTCTTGAGGGAAGGGTGCCTTGAACTTGTTCTTCCACTTTTTTTTCTTAAAGAGATTTCTTTGATTTAAACCCTTTTTTAGGCGCCTGGGTGGCTCAGTTGGTAAAACGACTGCCTTCGGCTCAGGTCATGATCCTGGAGTCCCGGGATCGAGTCCCGCATCGGGCTCCCTGCTCAGCGGGGAGTCTGCTTCTCCCTCTGACCCTCCCCCCATCTCATGTGCTCTCTCTCTCTCATTCTCTCTCTCAAATAAAGAAATAAAAATCTTTAAAAAAAACACCATTTTTTAAATTCCTAGAATAAGCCAATTTGATCATGACATATCCTTTTAACATATTCTCTGGGTTTGGTTTTCTAATATTTTGCTCTGATTTGTGTGTCTGTTAAAAGAACGACTGTAATCTTCTTGTTATATTTTTGTATCGGGGTTATGCTGGCCTCATAAAATGAGTTGCGAATAAATGTTCTCTATTCCTTGAAAAAAAAAAAGATTCATTTGACTGAGGGGAGAGAGAGGGGAGAGAATCTCAAGCAGACTCCGCACTGAGCGTGGGGACTGATGCGGGGCTCAATCCCACAACCTGTGAGAGCATGACCAGTGCTGAAACCAAGAGTTCGATGCTTAACGGACTGAGCCACCCAGGTGCCCCTCGTTCTTCCGCTTTCAATGACCTGGGACACACTGTCGTCTGGGTGAGCCCGGTCACATGGCTTTATAGATCACATCTTCCATAGCAGATTCCTCATGGTGCTTTGCAACAACAAGGAGAGTCTGTGAAGCCTTACAGGGCACAGAGGCTCCTTGACGATCTCATGGCAAAGTCCTAAAAAGAGTTAGGTTCTTCTTTTTTTAGGAACATAGAGATTTAATGAAATCCACAAACAGAAAACAAAGTTTTTTTTTCCTAACCCATCCCCCCACCCCCCCTTTTTTTAAGTTTTAATTGAATGTCACTTTTCTTTCTATAAGTGCCAAATTTCCAAATGTGCTGACCTTTTCTTGCTGACTGACAAGTATCTGTTAGACTGGGCTACTCTGGTCGCCCTCAGGCCACCAAACGTGTTTTAGGAAGGTTACTCTGGAA